TCAGGGCCTTCACACTCGCTGACCTCTCTGCCTGGAATGCCCCTTCCCCTGGGGTCTCCATCACCTCCTTTGAGTCTTCAGTCAAATGTCACCTTCTCAGTGGGGTCTTCCCTGACCACCTGAATTAAAATTCCCCTCCCCACGATTCACATCCCATCTGCTTTCCTGCTTATATTTTTCTCATCACCATCTTACATTCTATAGAACCAACTTATTTACATACACATTTATATACACTTATATATATGAAAAGATTTACTATATAGTATATTCTAATATACTATAATATAGTATATAGTATATTATAATAGAGTATATATTTATATACATATATGCTCTCAATGCTTTATGGGTATCGATTCATAGATAAGTAAGTATATACTTACATATACTTATGTAGTTATATATGCTTATACATATTTATATACTTTTTTTTCATATATTTATAAAAAGATTTACTATAAAGAATTGGGTCATGCAAGTATGGAGGCTGAGAGGTCCCATAATCTGCTGTCTGCAAGCTGGAGACCCTGGAAAGAGGTGGTGTAGGTCAGTCTGAGTCCAAAGGTCTGAGGACCAGGAACACCAAGGGCAGGAGAAGATCGCTGTTGCAGCGCAAGCCATCAGGTGGAAGAGCCCAATTCTTCCGTCCTTCGATTCAGGCCCTCAGTGGATTGATGGTGCCCTTCCACACTGGGGAGACAAACCACTTTACTGAGTCCACTAATTCAAATGTTAATTTCATTCAGAAACAAGCTCAAGACACACTCAGAAATAATGTTTAGCCAAATGGGAATCTTGGGATCCAGTCAAGGTGACGCCTAAATTAACCACCACAGTGTTCATTTACTTTGTATTCACTCTGCCTTGGTGTAAGGAGCATTCCATCACTTCGTTTCTTATCTCTTCACTCACTTAGTAAACACTCATCCAGGGCGCTGCTTCTACAGTGACGAGGCAGGCTCTGTGTCTCATTTTCCTGACAAGAAAGTATCCCCATCACACACACAGGGAGGCCAGCACTGAGGGCTCTGATGCCTCACTTCAGGTTAGTCTGCGTGCATCTCCTGCACACCTACTGTGAGCCAACCACAGGCCAAGGAACATCTATTGACTTTTTTCAGAGTTGACACATGCTACACCATGTCCTTCAATTTCACTGCAATCCAGGGTGTGCTTACACGGGTAGGTGCTCTAAAAGATGTGGGAGAATTTACAAGGGAGACGGTAGCAGAACAAAGTGGTAACATGTTGTGGAAAAGCATACAGTTGGAAGTCAGGTGGCTTCTGGTCTCTGCTGTTTAGCTGTTTAACCTTGACTTTGATGTTGACTAGGCAGCTTCACCTGTCCAGCCTTCAGTTTGTGTCCGTAGATGATCTTGGAGGAGCTGACCTCCCTTTCTAATCTCAAAGCCTATGCAATAGCGCCTGAGAGACGAACAGCTGCAGTAAGGTTGTTCGGTGGCAGGATCACGCCCAGAGATGGCCAGGGGACCCAGAAACACCCCAATCCTGCTCTGCTCAGCTCCTCCTGAGACTCTTAGGCGTGTCCAAGGAGCAACATATGGTATCAACACCACAGGATGTCAGCAGGGAAGGTTCTGCAGTAAAAAACCTTGCTTCTTTAGAGTTTCAAATTTAGAATTTCAAATTTTAAGAAAAATTTTTTCAAGTTCTTTTCTTTTTCTACATCAAATCTTTTGAAATGTTGAGTGATCTGATTTAAAGTGGGTTTAAGGAAAGAGGCTGCTTGTTCTGTGACTTCTCTCTCCACCTCCCACACATCCCTTATCTCCTGCTGTGTCACAAACCAACCCAAAACTCAGTGCGTGTCCAGCCCATTCGGAGATCTTGTATCAAGGATGGAATCATGGTGGGTGGACAGGAAAGGCCTTCTGCTGTATTCTTTCTCTTTTGAGTCTGGTCTCCTGGCTCCTTAAGTGAAACCTCGATGGACACATTCCTGTTCCTGGCATCTAATGATCCAAGGTGCCACTTCCCCGCCCTTTTAAAGCTATATGAAGCACTACTGAATAGATGCAAATAATATTTGTTAAAAACAAAACAAAACATAAATAATGACACAACAAATGCCCAAGTTCTCCACCTGGGTTAGGAAAGAAGCCTTCAGGTCCTGGGTGCTCCTTCCTGACCGCAGCCTCTGCTCTACCCTCTTAGGTAACCACCAGCTGCAACTCCATGTTCTTCATTTTTTACTTGCATCCTCTTGCTCTCTTTATGCTTCTATCCCAATTGTCCATCTAAACACATACACAGATAGCTGAGTTTTCCTGTTTGTGTACATACTGGAATCACACTGCAACACTCCTTTGACTTTGTCACTCAGTACTGCTTCTTAAATCGTCCGTTAAACATATTTTGCTACTGCCTTCTGTTACATGGATACAGCATAATTCACCTGTCCATTCCTGTGCCGATGAGTACTTGAGTTGTTTCCAGGTTTTGTTTTTTGCTCTGTACTGACTAACAGTACTGTGTCTTTTGGTGCATAGATGTACATTTGTGCATGAAAGAGCTGGTCACAGGGTGTGCACAGGTTTTTTACTTTACTGGGCCATGTCTAACCATCTTCCATGATTGTACCAACGTACACGCCTGACAGCAATAAAGATGTTCCACTTGCACATCTTTGCCAACATTTGATGCTGTCAGACTTAAAAATCTGCAATATAAAGGGTAGGAAATGGTATCTCACAGCAGTTTAATTTGCATTTCCTCACCCAGTGAGGTAATGCCCTTTCTGACATTTAAGGTTCCTGACATGAGAGAAATGAACTGTATCCCGAAGTGGCCATCTCTGACAGCCCCGATTCAAGGGGCAAGGCTCTGCTTGCCCATCCAACTACACAAATTTTTTCATACCTCTGTAGTGTGCTTGCGGGCTTTGTGCTAGATGTGCAGCACAGAGGTGAAGAACCCTAGTTCTCTAGGGATGGGTTCATGCAGGGTAATCTGAAGTGCTCCAGAGAAAATAGTCCTGTGGAGTACAGGTAGAACGAATCCTGGCTGGAGGCAATCCAGGGTAGGGAGGTTAGGAGCAGAGAGCAGGTGTGGTCAGAATGGGCAAGTGAAAAGAGGTCAGCAGTGCAGGTGACAGGCTGTGCCTGGCAGGGGACTATGGGCCTTTGGAAAACCCTGAGGGCTTGGGGCAGGGGAAGTTTGAGCAATAAAATCCTGGCTAGAGTGTGGAATTAAATTGTCAATGGAAAGACTAGTTTGAAAAAGTACTAAAACATCTCAACACCTCAGACAAGGTGTTTATGAATCATGTGGACAACACTGCTCGACGGCACGTGAACAAAGATGAGACGCCAGGAACTGAGTCTGCTGCCCTGAAAGCCACTAACCTTCGGGATAAACGGAGGCAGTACACCGGGTGGGCCTCCGATGGCACAGACCGACCTCGGGCTTCGAGAACGTGCCATATCACTAACCAGCTGTGCAATCCTAAGCGGAGTTCTACCCCAAGCCGGCTTCTCCGTCTCTGGGTGGGTACAGGAGCACTTACTGAGGGCTGTCGTGTGCCCGGCACGCACTGCAGGGACACGCATTTACCGGCACTGTTAACATGCTGCAGTTACTCAGGGCGGAAAAATCTTGGAGGTTTTTGGTAAGAATTACCACAAAACAGGAGTTTCTACTTAACAACTGACGCAAAAGAATGCAGTGCATGTGAGTGAAAAATCTGTGTGTGACAATAGACGTGAAATACTTTCTGAACCCCCAGCACGTTCCTGACCTGGTCCAGGGAGAAAGGCAGGCTCACCATACCCCCTCGCAGTGCTGCGGGGGATAGGAGGCTTTGACCAAGATTTACAGGTCAATTTAGGACAAGCTGGAAAATGGAATCTGAAAAGCCAACGTTGCTAAAATGTAAAGCTCAGCACGGCGACCTAGCCAGACAGCACGCGTCACTGGAACTACCCAGTGGCGAGGTCTCACACTCGCCAACACGAAGCCGGACGGCCGCAAGGCTCTTGGGCAAAGAATTCCAAGCCCCCCGTTCAATAACAAGGCACAGAGGGTGGATATTAATACCTTTTTAATGTTTCACATTGTTTTCTTCAAAAGTCTTTTAACAAAAAATACATGGAATTTAATACGGGTTTTGATACAGTGGACAATTACAGAGATGAAGTCGATAAGGTGTAATCCTCCTTGTGGGGGCAGAACGTTTCATTCCACTAGGAAGACAGGACCACAACATGATTAGGCATGATCACCTCACACTGCCTTGTTCTGACTTCAGAGCCTGGCAGACTCGGAGAAAAAACAAACTAAAAATAAATAAATAAAACTGCACACAGTTGGCTGCCTCGACCCCCACCCCGTTTTCCTTCCCCATTCTCTCCACACAGGCGGATGGGATGAGGCGTGAGGCAGAGCTGTGCAGCAGACAGGGTTAGGAGCTCTGCTGACCAAATGCCGGGCAGAATCAAGAGTTCCCTGAGGTGACAGGAAATGTACTTTGAATCAACCACTCAGTGCTGAGAAACACACACAGAGGGGGAAGGGAAAAAAGGAGCTTCAAGAACTGCTGGGGGGAGGCCCGATGTCCACGGCAGGCTTAAAACCCAGCTTCTAGAGAGAAAGGAATGCTAGCAGAGCAGAAACACTTGTGCCAAAAATTCCACCCAGGGCAGTTATTCATTCAATAGAAAAAGTCAAAACATTTAGGTTTTAAATGAAAATCCTTCACATCCACCTGTGCTCAAAAATAATAAGTTACGATATTAACAGCTTCCTTTAAAAAAAAAGTAATTACCACAAAAGAGTGAAATCATTTAAGTGTGGAAAGACTTATTTTTCCTATGAATGTAATTCTTAGGGATAGATACGTAACACATACACACGAGACAGACAAGCTGTGATACTCTGCGTTTCTACCCTAAAGCAAAAGCCACCCACCGAAGTTTCAAACACGTGAAGTGTTTCCATTGCAAAAGACCTCAGCTCACTTAGACCAGCACACAATGGACTAAATAAAGGCATTTATTGTTCTTCCCCATTTCAGGTGTACGTCTGCTTCTGTGACGGATGACAGTGGAAAGCACACTATGCCACCAAGCTCCGTGCAGTGGAACAGCACTTCCAAAAGGCTGGCCATGCAGCCATTTCCTTTTCTAAACAGAACTAAAAATAAAATGAGTGGTGTAGCGCAAGGGGGCAAATTTGGCCAATCGTAACTTGACTTGTTTTGCACATGTAACTCCCTAGGGAGCCACTGCAGAACAGGCCGGCCAAGCAAAATACCACATTTGGGTCCCTGGGCAGCTGTTTCTCATGGGACAAGCCTATGAGCGACATCACACCTTCCCAGCAACGAGCCACCTCATCTCCACACTGAAGCCAAAAGCAGGAGAAAGATTGACTGCTAACATTTTTTTGTCTCTAGTATCATTAACACCTTCGAGAAAAAAGGAAAAAAAAAGAAACAAAAACCAATCAACATTAGAAAGCCTGACGATGTGGATAAGAAAGCCCACAAAGGAAAGGCCATGCGAAAACTGCTTCGACGGTTCCATCACCGCCCACCGCACGGGCTTGAGGCTGGTGACTTCATGGGCGCATCTCTCCGATGCTCACCGAGTGTCAGTTTCGAGTCCATCATGGTGACCCCAGTGTGATGCTGTCTGCCTTCCACTCACCACCTGCTACCCATGAGATCCAAGGGGGCTTCAGGAGTGTAAGCAGAGGACAAGCAGGTGCTGAAGCCCGGGAACCTTCCCCAAAAACCTCGCCTTGAATTTGGGCAAGAAACACAGGAGTGGTTTGGAATCTTGGCAACAGCATCCACACTGGGGCTTAACCTCAGCAGCCAGCCTGGAGGATGCTTCCCCCAGAGCGCTTGGTCACCGACAGTGTCGTGAATACCTGCAGGGGGGGAGACAGCACGAGATTTTCAGAAATCTGGGCAAAGGTTACCAGGGAGTAGTTCAGACAACACCATACGTATTAAGAATGACTTGGATGACTACTTAAAATGAATGAAACAGAGAAGTAACATGCAATTTCCCCAGCGGATAAAAGGAGAGGAGCATCTTAAAACCAAGGTGAGAGAGGGGGAAAAAATGTAAGTTATATCTAATAAAGCACTTATTAGCATGAGGTAACTAAAACAACATCACCCCACTTGCTTGTCAATTCTCTAAAAGAAACGCATCCTGAAATATTCTAGGTACAAAGAAAGGAGTAAAGAGTATGATGACAAACACCCTTGTGTCCACCCAGCTCAGGGAGCTGTGCAACAGGCTTGGAGCCCCACACGAGTCCCTTCCTGATCACCTCTTCCTCCTGGCCCTCTAACCAGTGCTTAACTACCTCTGTGCATTTCTACCTGCTTTTCTTTATAGGTTTTTAAAAACTTTATATACAAACGGCAAGATGACATATATACTCTTCTGCTACCTGCTTTCTTGGCTTAATACTGTATTTCTGTGATTTAAGCATACAGACACAAATAGCTCTAATTCTTCCTTTTTTCACTGAATTGTATTTGATTACAATCGTATACTATACCATACAGAGTATAGTATACATACTATAGCATGCAATTACTCAAATCATGAATATGTTACAAATTACATAACCGGGCTCCTTTTGTTGGCCATTCAAGCTATAGCCGATATGCTGTGACATTCCAGTACGTCTCCATGCTCCCAGACCTAGAGGCACAACGGCTGACTGGGAGGGCAGGTGCAACTTTGACTTGGCTACACTTCCAAAGTGCCCGACCAACTGCTACTCTCGTTTGCAGTGAATGACAAGTTCTCCTTGTTTCACATCCTTGAGAACATTTGGTCCTTGTGGACTTACAGCTTTACCATTTTAGGTGACCTTGACTTGCTACTATTTAGCATGGCCTCTACAAATAAAAGGGGAGTTCTCAAACCTGTTCACAAGGATTAAAATACACAGAAATGACAGACGGAGGGTACAGCCCAGGAATCCCATGTTTAACAAGAGTCCCAGGTAATTCTAATACAGGATGCCTGAAGACCACATATTAGAACTTCTTGTTGGAACACCAGTGTAGGCAACACACTGTGAGTTCACTGCAAAATCCAAAGCCGAGAAGTCTACTGCACGTTGAACTAACCGTCAGTTGCTCAGTTTCGTAGTTTCACCAAACAGGAAACCTGCAGCTCTCCTGCAGTTCATCAGTAACCTTCCACTGGCCAGACCCAGAGGGCACCTTGCAGTTTTCATTCTGCAGCCTCTCTGCAGCATTTCTTGCTGCTGAGCTCACTGATGTTTTAACAACTCTTTCCTCTTCTTGTTTCCGTGAGAGCTCTCTTTTCTGTTTCCTTCTTTCGTGGCTATTCTTCAGCCCGAGCACAGAGGTGTGCTGCTGAAACACCAATTCCCCCTGGCCCTTGAGGTGGCCAGATCCCCCAGGTGGGCTGGCTGCAGACCCAGGTACCTCATCTACTTACTCCAGTGCGCTGCCAAGTCCTGCCGCCGTCCACGTGTGCGCGGCACAAGCAAGGCCAGGAAGCACTGCCCTAGGGTCCCAGCCTTGGCTCTCTCCCTTTCAAGCGATGGATTCGCAGCCTTTCCAGCCGCTGTGTCTCTCCTGAGCTCCAAGCCAGTGAGACCTGACCAGCACCTCTGGGAAGATGACACTTTCAAATCGAACGCTGTCCCGTACTGAACCCTTTACCTTCCTGTAATCCATCACCTCTTCTTGTTGCTCAGGTCACGCATTTGGAATTAATCCTTAATTCTTCTATTTGTATTACTGCTGATATATCACCAACTAGTAAGTTTTAGATATTCTGCTTCTTTTCTGTCAAATCTGATCCTCTTTGTGTTAACACTGACTGAACTACTGCGAAATTTTTGTTCATTTCCAAAACACACGGTTTCCTCACCCCTGTGAGGACCTCCTGTGTGGCCCATACATTATACGTTCCTATCCTCCTGGACGAGGATGTGCGGGCCAAGGGCTTGCTCCAGCCAAGGACACGTGCAGAAGTGGGAAGCATCACTTCTAAACAGAAGCTCAGTGTGCTTCTCTGACACCTCCTGTCCCCTGCCATTCAGCCAGCAGTGACCCGGGGAGAGGCCACCCCATCAGCGGGCCCTGGAGTGATGACACATGGAAGCTGAGCCACAGCTGGTCCTCAGTGGCCATAGAGCACCGCGAGGAATAAACGTTTGTTTCTACAGGCAAAAACCAAAACAAAACCAAAAATGCCACCCACACTGACCATCGACTTGCTCAGGCATGAAAACACAAAAGGGCTTTGCGCTCATTCAATTAAGTTCAGAAACTTACGTGGTAACTGAATACAATTAAGACTTCAAGCCAAGCCTCTCTGGTCACACGAAGTGAACTGAAGAGTAACCCTGATGAGATTCTACAGCGTATACACCTGTCCTGCTCCAAGCCAGGCTGACCTTCTGGAGCCACTGAGTGTCTCACTGACACAAGAGGCCACAGCATATTTGGGAGAGGCCTTAGTAGAAGCAAGACTCACTGAGTGCCTGCCTGCACCATTGCTGGCACACCTGGACACCTGGACAGACTTTCTGGTCAGCTGAACCTCTTCTTTCTGAGAAGTAACTGGTTTCCTAGTTTTCTATACAAAGAGGAAATCAAGGCCACTTGATATATACAGGCCAAAGCAACCAGAATCAGCATCAAAAATACTTGTGAATTATGGAGGAACAATACAGAAAAAAATCCTGGCCTATTTCAGCCTCAAAGCAGGGACAAAAGCCTCTTTCCTTTCTATATACCAACACATCAGCAGCACCTCAACAAAGTCAGACCCAAGTAAGAATGGCTAGTATCTTAACACATTTCAAGTATGAACCCAGAAGAAAATGTATGAACAATTCACATCCAGAAAAATAATAACTATAAGAGTATCATCCTCATTAACAAAGATATGTAAAAATCCTTGAGTCAGTTATCCTTTTCATATTCAGTAAAGGAAAATTTACACTGAATTTTGCAAGGTTTTCATTAGCACTCAAACTCAATGCTGATGACATTATAAACCAGTACAAGTCTTTTTTGAAAAGCAAGTAAATTCCTCTGTTTAAAAGATGCGTGGCTGTGGATGGGGACAGAAAGGCAATGTGCGACGATGGAAACAGCTGTGTGAGGGTGATGGCTTCACGGGCAATTTAAAATCCCATCAGACATGCTCTCCGTTCAGTTTTTTCAAAGAAAGGAAAATAATGAACCAGGGGATACATTAAAGCAAATTTCAGGTTTGTGAATTTGCAAGCTTGAAAGTTTTATTCCTCAGGAATTTAGGAAGAGAAATTGTAGGACACGTGGACAGAAAACTAAACCCATCAAAAGAGGGAAACAAATTAAGGACAAAAAGAAAAGAGCTCTTATCTAATTTTCTTACACTGGAAACACACTGATGTTAAAGAGATGGGAGAAGCCAAACTGTTATTACTGATTAGTCTAAATGGAAAAAAATGGGTGGCGGAGGGGGTGTGTGTGTGTGGTCAATTCTTACAAAGATTTTCTCTGCACGCAGCTGCTTTAGAATTTCCATAAATACACCATTTTAAGAAATGAGCAGAGGCAGCCCCTTCACGCTTTTCTATCCCAACACAGACAACACTCACAAAAGGTCAAATGCTACACAAATGCCTTGGCAGGCTCGGATGCCGCATCTCTATCTGCAACACCTCCTCCCAGCCTCGCAAGACCCCTCACTGGAGACTGTGATTATGCTGACTATTAATAAAACAGAACTTGTGATGTTTGGCATAAAATTCATTTTATGGCATGCCATAGGGTCTTGCTCTTTCTTCTTGAGCTATTATTTTTTGCCCTACAAATAAACTTGATTAGTTGAAATTACTACTCAAAATAATGCATAATCAGTTTCCCACTCAATTATTACTGCTCAGGCATCCAGAATAAATTTTCACCATACTATCTTCACACTGAATAATGCTAATGCATCACTGATGCCCCAGGCCCCAAGACTCCCTCTCATGTTGACACCAAGGGGCTTCCAGTCAAAACAACACTAGGCTCTCTTCCTCCTACAGCAACTCCAGAAGGAAACTCTTTGGAAATTACTGTGCTCAAAGTCTCCAATGAGGAATTTGTCAACCTCTGTAAGTAATTACTTCTCAGAGCCAAAGGCTGTGCAATTGCCTGGGCTATTTTATCAGAATGGTGGTTAAGTGTTCACTCAATGATTCATTCTGCAAACCACCCACAACTGGCCCGGGAGCTGTGGCTACTTCTGAGCACTTTAAAGCAGTGCTCAGGACCAGTTTTTAAATTATTATTGTTTCTAATCCAACCAATGGACGGACATTTGTGAAATTCAATCAAATGAATAAGGAAAATGAACTTTTAAAAGGCATATGAAATGAAAACTCAGATTTTCTATTATTGTATCAGATATTGTCAAATTATCCCTTAAGTTTCTAAACTTTTCTTTTTCATTTCCTTCGTTATCTCATTATGGATTAGTAACAAACATTCTGTGGACTGCATTTTGAGTGGTGCCCTATACAATATAAGGTTATTTGCTAAAAACAAAGCAAAACAAACAAAACAGTGGATCCAGTAGCATACCCAATTACATCCTACGCCAGTGAGAACCCAGCATTTAGCAAGAGTGTCCCTAAAATTCTCCCACCAGTCACATTTCACTTTCCCTCCATCAAGCAGCTTTAAGAAAGATTTCCATAGTCAGGATTTTGTCAGAAGTCTTTGGTTTTTCAAAGTCTAGTTTCTAAGCCAGTAGCTCATAATCAGGAGGTAAAAGAAATCACTAGAGGAGCTTTTTCAAAATACACATTCTTCCTCCACCTCCCCTCCCCACAAAATGCTGTTAATGATGACCCTTCAGTCGCCACATCTTCTGTAATGAAATATCCAGGGGAACACCAGCTAACAGATGCAGTTACTGGACATCTACCAAAGGCCAGGAGCTGCCCTAGTCACTTTCCGCAGAGCATGGCTCCCTGACCCTGCGAGTCACATCCTCTCCCCGTCAACACCCGACAGGGAGGAGTGGGGAAGCTGAGTATCATCCGTAAGGCGTGGGGAAGCTGACTGCTTGAGTTTGAATCTCGGCTCTGCCACTTTCCAGCTGGCAAGTTACTCAACCCTTCTGTCCCCAGCTTCCCCACCGGTCGAATGGAGATATTACTGCAACGTTCCTGGTGGGGTTCCTGTAAGGACTACATAAGACAACACGCAGAGGGAGAGAGCAGAGTCCTGATACACAGTAAACCCTCACAAATGTTGGCACTCCTGCCAGGTGGCTCCCCAGGAGTCCCTCTTTTTGTATGACTGCTTCCTCCTTCAAGCGGCAAAAGGGAACCATTCAGCTCTCCCCTCTCCCCACTTCCAAACAGTGGGCAAGTCCCATCAACTCTACCTCCTATTTCTCCCTCTAAATATATCAAAGTCTCTGGACATCCACTGCCACTCCCCTAGTTCAGGCAACCAGCACCTCCTCCCCTGTCTCCAGATGTGCCTCCTCCAGCCCATTCTCCATGGTGGCGGGGCCAAAGTAATTTCTCTCAGGAATGCTTCAGACCCCATCCCTCCTGCTTCCAAACTCTCAGCTGAATTGCCGTGGCCCCAAGACAAAGTCAAAATACCCTGTCTTGGTTTACAAGTCCATGATTTTCCCACCTAACCTACTTCTCCAGCTTAATTTTTGTTGTTTTTTTTAATCTTTCTGTAAGCTCTTCAAGCAACAGCAATGTTGAGGGCCTTTCAGTTCCCTGAAGAAGCCATGATCTCACCCACAGAGTTCTTCTATTTGGTGTTCCCTCTGCCTGAATAACACCAATGCCGCCTTCTCGGCTTTGCAAGAACCACCCCCCTCACCCCCAATTATCCTGCCACAAACAACACTTTATATGTACCTTGATCCCGGGATTCCCGACAGTGAACTGTATCTGGCATTTCCTCATCTGCCTCCCTGCTCTGCATCATGGCTTAAATCCCCACTGCTCCCCCAGCGCCCAGCACAGTGCTAGGTACACAGCTGCACAACAGATGTGCACAGAGAGTGAGAAAATAGCAACCAATTTTTCAATCTCATTCATCAGCCACCAGCTTGGAAAAAAAGAAAAGGCAAAAAGCCCTATCAAAGGAATGGAACATTCACCTCTGAGCTTCAAAGTCATAAGAGAACCAACAACTGGAGATACACAGCAGTAAAAACCTAAGAAGGGTTCTTGTAGTGCCAGGCATAGCATGGGGAGCAGGCCTCTGGCTGACCTCCCTGCAGGCCCAGGCTTCAGGAAGATCGCTCTGCCCAGCCGGCAGCTGCACCCCCACCAGCAGCTGCCGCACTCACCAAGCACACATCAGCCTCTTAACTAGCCCACTGAGAACTGAATTCAGGTTAAAAAATCACACTCACACACCCAAGTTGGGAAGTTAGGTTTTTATCCATGTTGGAGAGGACTTGCTCTTTTAAAGTATCTTAGGCTGCCATCTAAACATTTAAATATACTCACTGCTGTGGGTTGAATTAAGTCCCCCAGAAAGATGTGTTCAACTCCTATGCCCTGGTATCTGTGACTGTGACCTTATTTGGAAATAGTGTCTTTGCAGGTGTAATCAAGTTAAAAAAGTCTTGCTGGATTCGCGTGGGCCCTAACCCAATGACCGATGTCCTATATACCAAGAGGGAAATTTCAGCACAGACACAAGGAGACAAGGCCACGTGAAGATGGAGGCAGAGCCTAGAGTCACGCATCTACAAGCCGAGACTGTCACGACCTGCTGGCACTCCCAGAAGCTGCGGCAGCAAGGAAGGAAGGAGTCTTCCACAGGGAGCGCCGTTGGAGGCAGCACAGCCCTGCCAACACCCCGAATGCAGACTTCAAGCCTCCAAAACTAGGAAAGAATAAATTTCTGTTGTTTTCAACCACCCCATTTTTGGTACATTGTTACATCAGCCCTAGGAAACTAACACACTAAGTGTTTTTTTAGAAAAAAATGAACTGGCTCCTTCCCTAGGCAGACAGTCTTAGTCATCACACTGAATAAAAGACTAATTGCGTGTTCTTTAAGAGATTCTTAAAATCTATTATTCTCTTTTCAATTTTTATATTTTTTGAAACTTAGTCTTACTTCACAAAAACCAAACCAAACCAAACCACACACACACACACACACACAGAGTAGTTTCCTAGTCACTAAACAGATGCATATTAATATAGAGAAGGACACACACTATCCCTAATCAGAGAAAAGGCAAAGCAAAAGGAAGTGAGAACACTTTCCAGGGCTACAATGTTCAGCTCCATACCTAAGCCTCCTGATGAGACACCTCCTCCCAACCTCCAAGTTCTCCAGCGTAGACACACTTTGGGTTTACAATCCCTCCTTAGTGGTATCACAACATTCCACTCTTGGATGAGCCCTGACAGGCATGAAGAAACACTGACACCCAGAGGCCCAGACTAGTCCAGTTCCAGCTCTTGATCTTTTAAAAAGCATCACTTTGAAATCTCATTCTTTGATACCAAAAGTTAAAGAGGTAGACATCATTTAGCCTCCAGGTGGCTCTAGGATGACTAGGATTTATGCTTCTTCTGATTATGAATGACATTATTAGCTAATTGCCCCCAAAATACTTTAGGAGACCTGAGAAATGTAAGATTTAAGGCACATCTCTATAAATGACTCTCATCATTTTTATCACGGAATAGCATGGCAGTACTATCCTGTTGCCAGAAGGAGAAACATTGGGAAGAGGAAAAACTGCCCTTAAAGACAAGACCTTCTTTCGAGGTAGTCTCCAACACTAATAAGCTGTAAGGAGGTCGAAGCAGCTCAAGAAAAGCAGGAAGAACAGCAGAATCCCAGATATGCCCCCTGTAAGCCGAGTGATGCTGTCACTCTTAAACAGAGCTATCGAAGTGTGGGCGACCCACCTCTGCGCAGACAGGGTGGATGCCGATGGTGCTGTCCAGCTGATCTTTGGTCAGTCCACACTTGAGCGCTGCTGCGAAGCCCTGGGTAACTTCCCCAGCATTTGGACCCAGCATGTGGAAGCCGACAACTCGTTCCTGAAATATAAAAGAGTAATACAATTACGTGGATTTCTTCCCCTTAACTGCCTGGAATATCCTCCCAGTCTAATCTAAAAATCCCACTCAGAAATGGCCAAAGACTTTTATTAATGTTTGCTGCTAGAAGCTATTTTGCGTGAAGATACTCCTACACGGGCCAATAGAGAGCCTGGTGGTCACACCAAGAAGAGGCAAGAACCAGCCACGAGTGATGATAAGGAAAAACATGAAAAGCAAAAATGTGGGCCCCCCCATCTCCTCCATTTGGCTTTATCAAAGCCCCAAATAAACTACCTGTGATAGCTGTAACATTTAAGAGCAGTCATTCAAATTAAAAAATCATTTATACTAAGGTTTGGGGGTAGATAGCACAGACTTAAGACCCTTCCAATGTGAAAACAGTTTTGAAAGCAAGAGAAAAACATCTGGCAACCCTGAAATACCTGGGTGGGAATTACTCCGGATAAATCTAAGCCCCAACCTCAGGCTACCTCTGCTGAGAGCAGGGAAACCTGATGTGTTCCCCTGTGCAGACTCTGAGAGCCAGCTCTGAGCCAGACCGTCCAGCCCAGTCCCCTCATAATAGATGAGGCAGCTCAGGCTGTGAGGGGCAAGGCCAAATCTAAGGTTCAGCAGCTCCCTGGAAACCATCAGGAAGGTCATGCTGTGCATGACATATTCCACTGTAGACTCTCACATTATTCACCCTGACATTCAGGGTTTGAGTATAGGGATAAACAAAGCGTAACTATAATAGCTCTTAAAATATACTAGATTTACATGCAATAAATGGACAAATCTCCAAAAATGAGATTTTAAAAAAAGGTGCAGGCTTCTATTTCGCTAAGGATACCCCTCTTCTTTAAACCACAATGCATGATGTTTATGGATACATAACAGGCAGCAAACAACACAAAAATATGAACAGGTGAGACAGTCCAAACTGAGGACAGTGCTGCGTCTGGGGTAGGGAAGGCAAGGCGGGAGAAGCACCAGGAGGAGGGAAAGGACCACGCAGGCACAGGCCAGCGGTCAACAGCGCGGGTTTGACTTTGCCTAGCACTGAATTCCTGCTCTGCCATTAACTAGCAAGTGCCCGGGCACAACAGCTCAGCTTCCGCATGCTTCAGTTTCCTCATCTATAAAACGGGGGTAACAACAGCACATACCTCGTAAGGTTGTGTGAGGACTAAATGAATTTGTACGTGTCGACCACTAAGTAGGGCCTGGAACACAAACTAATAAATAGAGGCTATTACAAACTGCCTCTGTGATGGTTTCTCTCTTCTAAGAGGAAAGCTCTGATGCAAATATAGGAAAATGTTACTATTCACTGAGTCTGGATGGTAGGTGTTTTCCCTATCTCTGAATGTAAATTTTAAATATTTCATGTAAAAATAGAATAGCATACAAAAAGAATAAAAGCCTAGCAAGTTAAACACTACTTAAAACCCAGCACATCTAGACACTGTGAAGTGAATGACTCGGAATGAATAAAGCATGCCTCAAGGAAGGTCAAGTTCTAGAAGCACACTTTTGTTCGAGATCACTATGACAAAAGCAATGGCAAGTACTCCTCTCTTCTATCTTTGTTTATGACAATAATTTACAACAGTACCATCCTACTTATAGTCTCAGTCATTTTAACTGAGTTTACTGGTAGTGAAAATTGTTTTTCATATTATATAAAAAAATGCCATTTGATCAACTGACAGTAGTTTTAAAAAAAGGACAAAAAAACTATACAATTAAATAGATTTGCTTGGTGTAAAGGAAACATCTGCAGTTTCATCAACTGTTAACGTGCAAATGAAGTATCTCTTGCTGGATCCTTCTGTCACAGTGGCATGGTGTCTAATGTATACTCATAAAAATGACTTTAATAAGACAATATAAAAAGAAAAGTCTCTACATAAAATTGTTCTTTATGTCAACTTTGTATAGCTTGGTACAGGCTATCCTAGTACATTCATTTATTAAATGCACTTATGATGACCTTTTTTGTAGAGGATCCAGGTTTTCCTAGAATCCTGTATTCTGTAAAAAGCAATCTGCAACTGTGCTGTCTAGAGCAGTAGTTTCTAAACAGAATATATAACTTAATTATATTCAAATCTGGAGATAAGAAAATGAGTTTATTAGGCTTTTAACATACGGGTTCCTTAGCATTGTTTATATTTTTACTGTTGGGGATGCTTTTTTAAAAACATCCTCAGCTACGTTAAAAATACCAATTCTCATGAGACTGAACCCAGGTGAGGGAGATCAAGAGGAACATACTTCTAGTTACAAAATGAGTCACAGGTACAAAATGTACACTCTGGGGAATACAGTCAAGAATCATGTAATATCTTTGTATGGTGACAGACGGTAACTAGTTACTGTGGTGATCACTGAAATGTATAGAAATATGTTACATACCAGAAACTAATACAGTGTTGTAGATCAATTATCCTTCAAAACAAACTCATGGAAGAAGAGATCTGATTTGTAGTTACCAGAGGTAACGAGTGGGGAGAGGGGAACTGGGTGCAGACAGTCAAAAGGTACAAACTTTCAGTTATTAGATAAATAAGTACTAGGGATGTAATGGACAAAATGATTAACATAATTGACACTGCTGAATGTTGTATATGAAGGCTGCTAAGAAAGTAAATCGTAAAACTTCTAATCTCACACACACACATACACACACGCACACACACGGATTCAATCCGCAACATTTACAGAATATGTGCATAGATACACACTTGTTCTGGGTTACAAGAGAAAATGAGGGCAGCGATCAGAAAAGTCTCAAAAAAACCAATGATTTATTCAATCACTTTGTAGGTCCGGAAACAAACTCTGTGAGGTCAAGGAGCTTGCCCACAGGCGTTCATTACTAGTTGTTGCATGAAGCAGCGAGCAAATCCTAAAATCAGAACCCAGTTAAGAGCTCTTGCCATTACAACTTTCTCACTAGTGCCAGCTGCTTAGGATACAAACTTGGGTAATTACCCCCGTTCTTTTCTTTTTTGTCATTATTTTTACATAGTCAATGGCGTCACTGGTCCCCTTTAACAAACACAAACAGTTCTCAAGTTTCCCTCCTGGTTTCTTCGTTCAGTAAGTTCTGACTGCCTGTCCACTATGTCCACTGCAGAGGGGAGTTAAGCAGTATCGTCATGGTCCTCACCTCAAATAATGTCCATAAAGCTGGGGAGACCGACAGGTAAAATACTAAAGGAATGCCGTGTGTGTGTACCATGTGATCAAAACAGAGTTACACAGTAAGAACAAAATAAAATTAGTAGAAAGGATTAAATGAGAATGGCACTTACATTGTCTTTGATATTACAGACTATTTTTGCGTAACATTTGTTGTTATCTCTTGATGGAATGGTCCATTCCAACGGCCAAAAGTAACTATGGTAAACCTAAGAAGAGAGAAGCACAATTTAGACCCGTCGTCTTAAGAAGTAGCCTGTCAAACTCTAGTTGTAGAGTGAAGATGGTGGAGGCCCTTTAATAAGTACTTTCATCAAACAGTACAACTCATGAAATAAATAGGAATCTGGCCAAAAGATAAATAACTTTAAACTCATAGGTGACAAGCCCTTTCACTATAAGCTCATCCCTTAATTACATCTCAAACTCAAAAGAGTAAACCTTATGTAACAACAACAAAGAACAAGCAAATAGAGGAAGAAGCCATGTAATTTCTTGCTGTCTTGAATTTAAAAAATAAACAAACACCAACACTATTCTCACAGGAATGACAACTTGGGCCAGAAACAATTATAGCAATTATCTAGTTTTCTTGCTAAATATTTCCAAAGACATCCCCTCATGTGGGATTATTCACCAAAGGTACAGAAGGAGGGAGGGAGGAAGGAAGATGGCAGACAGGAGGACACATAGACGTCTGTATTGGTATTTCATAAACTTAAGTCTTAGGTGACTAAAGAGAGGCTTTTCCTCCTCCAACTGCTAGCTTCAATTCAAAACATGTATGGTTGGTAGGATCTTTTAAAGACATATTGATTATGTAGACATTACGTAACACTCTTTTATGTTGTAATGATGTGAATTTTTTTAATGTGGGTTGCAAAACTGAATGTATAGTATCACAGTGTCACAACCATTACACAGGGAAAAAAATGATTACAGAAATGACTCCCAATTGCTAACAACTGCTGTGTTACAGACATAGGGCTATGAGTAATTGTTTCCTATTTCCCTTACATTTTTCAAAATTTCTTCAACACAAATGTATTACTTTTATAATGAAAAATGCAAATTCTAATAAAACAAAAGCCAAAGATTATGAAAAAAATTATGAAATATATATTAAGAACTTTAAAACTTAAATACCTCTTGATAGTAATCTATCCTCAGAAAATAATCAGAGAAACAGGCAAATATAAAAGATAGTCATCATTCTATTTATAACAGTGAAAAACTGTAAATAATCCAATAAAAGAATGGCTTAACAAATTACTGTACAGCATATCTCATTTTAAAAGATGGTGTTTTTAGGGGGAAATGCTTGTGATCCAACATTTATTTTAAAGTAGGACAGAAAACTGAATATAACTTAATCACAGTTCAAAAATTTAGATAAATGGACCTACACAAAATTATGCATAAAACATGACATATGAACTCATGAATTAAAATTTCCTTTTGAATATGTTCCTGATTTTTCAAATTCCCTTTGAGCATATACTATTTTTATAATCAGAAAAAAGGTTAATAATATGTTACTGATAGACCAATATTACATGCTACTACTAAAGCATATAATAAAAGATATGTTAAGAAATTTAAAATAGACTTCTATACCACAAATTTACTGATTCATAAATCTGGTCTTTCAGAAGAACGTTTTACTAGAAACTTTCTCCCCTTAAATGCGTTAATACATAAGTCCCTTTGTATAGCGTTATCTGTGTATATGAGAATAGTTTATTTCATGTGCATTTTCCTTGACTATAGGATAAAAGGTGAGGGGCAAAAGTTAGTACAATTAGAGGGAAATGGTAGGTTCTACTAACTGAACAGGAGAAATGCAGGTACCTTTCAGTTTTCTTCCTTGTATTTTCCTGTATTTTTCACATTAATAATAAAAAGAAACCAATAAAAGTGGTTTTAAAAAGTAGAACTAAGTATTACCGGATCAACTGATGAAACTGAAAACTGGAAAGTAGGTCAGATAAAGTACTGTATCAAAATTAAATTGTCCAAAAAGTAGTAACTACACTGTGGTTATGTAAGAAAATGTCCTTGTTCATAGGAAATACACAGTGAAATATTTAGGGGTAAAAGGGTATTCAACTTAGTCTCAAATGGTTCAGGAAAAAGAAATACACACAGATGAACAGAGACAGACAAAGAGAGAATATGAAAAGTATAAAACAAACGGGCAAAATGTTAGTAATATGTGCATCTGTATAATGGGTATATGGAAGTTCTTCGTACTGTTTCAACTTCTCTGTATGCTGGAAATTATTTTAAAGTTGGGGGAAAAAAGAGTAGTAAAGAGTAGAATTTACCTCAATATTTTCTTCCCCAAATTTCTCCACAGCTTTCTCTTCAGAAAGACCACAAGCACCATATTCCAAAGGAGTAAATACGGTCGTTGGAACATTTTCATAGTCACACTGTTTGAAAATGGAGGAGAGTTATGACAGAAGAAATTATAACTCGAAAAAGTATATACTTTAAAAAGGCTCAAAATTAGGAGAGGAAAGTAGGCTAATAAAAACCTACTATGCTGAGAATCATTAACTGATGCAATAAAGTTTTAGCAGAGGTTTAAAGTCTGTCAAGACTAGTCATGAATATATGGCTCATGCGGCTTCTCCATTCATCTACCAACTGATGTTAACAAGGACATACTTTTTCTCCCTTAAATTAAGCAGCCAAAACAATACTAGTGCACCCAATGCTGAAAGTCTCATATTATCAGTGACAGAAGTAAACAGGCTATTGGAAAATCAATTAGGTAATACATACTAAGAGCCACAAAAACATTTTAAACTTTTTGGCCCAATAATCCCATTTTTAGAAATCTATAATAATAATTTAATATACAGAAAAAGCTACATGCATTAATTTAATTGAGCAATGCCACAGTTCTCATCAATAGTGGCTATATTGGAGTGGCTTTAAAAACGCAAATAAGGAAGTGGTTCTATAGTACATATTCCCAATGTAACATTAAGGAGCCATTAAAGTAATGGTAATTTTTCTAAAGCATATTTTATGTTAATAGGCATGGATGACAAAACGGTTCTGAAGTCAAACAAGTTTGTAAAATGCTGTATTAAGCAAATAAACAGGTTTCTCAACTATCAGAATTCTCAGAGCCTTTAATATGCTGATGTGAATTGTGAAAATGTAATTACATAAATGCCAAATATGTCTGTAAATGCTAAACCTACCCAGCCAAATCTGTACAGAAGTAAGTCGTCCTGCATTTAAAATGAGAAATTCAATCAATTCTCGCTCTCTAAAATGGTAAAGTAAAATCTTTAAAATGTGCCTCCCTCTAGAAGTAGTATATAATCTTTTTTCTCTAAAATGAACACAAACCTTTGGAATTCTGAATCAAAAGTAAAGGTAGCCATCCACTTATTGCCATAACGGACCAGGTTTACTTCCTGCTTTAAACAACTAGAAAACCAGACAAATATGCAACACATTTGCAGACTCTGGATGGTAGGCAGGGCAGCACCGAGGAGGCCTAGGAAGGGCATCAATTTAGGAGTGGAACTAAATTAGGCCTAGATGAAAGCTTGCTGTTGACACACCCTAAAGAAGCTGAAAAGTAATTACACAAGGATAAAACTAATCCCATGTAACATAATGGGCTGCCAAAACAAAGTCCAACACTATATAAAGGAATTCAACAAAACTCAGCTCCCAACAATGTAAAATGCACAAAGTTCACTTCCATCCAAAGTAACGAAACACACAAAGGAGCAAGAATTCTTGAACCAATACCAAGAGAAAAATCAATCAACACAGACACAGCAAAAGAGATGATGGGATAAGCAGAGGGCACTAAAAGAGGTTTTATAAATATGTTCTGCATATTCGAAGAGGTAAAAAAAACCCATGAACCTGCTGAAGAGAGAAAAGGAAAATATATTTTAAATAAATAAAACTCAGAGATGAAAGAAACCACTTGAAGTGCAAACAACATGGAATGGGATTTACAGCCTAAGACAGTGCAGAAGAAAGGATCAGTGGACTTGAAGACACTGCAATAGACTGAGAAAATGAAAAACAGAAATGGGAGTGGAAAACAGAAAAATTAATTAAATGGTTAATTTGATGAAATTTTTCCAAATCTGATGAAAAACTATAAACATATAAACCCTCAAATCTTGACAAACCACAAGCAAAATAATTACAAAGGAAAATAAGCCAAGGCATACAATAATCAAACTACTAAAAAAACAGTGATAGATACAAAATCTAAAAAGGAACAAAGATAAAAATGATGGCATGGCATACTTCTCTTTAGAATCTGAGCAACCAGAAAACAATGGGCAAATTATTAAAATATGTAAATTAACCCTGCAAATCCAAAATTCTATATTCAGCAAAATTATCTTCCAAAAAGTGAAGGCAAAATAAACTTGAGGAAAAAAAGAAAAACCCAAAAGCCAAGGAATTAACCATGACCGTGCATGCACTAAATAACTGTTAAAGGAAGTTCTTCAGGCAGAAAATGGTGTATCAAATAGAAATCTGGGTCCTACATAATATGGTATTTTTCTTCTCCTTGGTCCCAATACTCAGTTTCCAATTGATTTCAGTGAACTATTGTGGCCTAGCCTGCGAAATGTAATCCTTGTTTTTAATACTTTTATTTGGATAAAACACTTTGCAGTTTTCACAACAAGCCACTTAATGAATTTTTAGAATACAACCCATTCTCAAGTTGCAGATATGTGTACTATGGTTTCTCTACAGTTTCCACATAAAATGTTTTTATACTTACTGAAAAATTGAGTTAACTTACAAAGTACTTCTTTAAGTAATAATAAAGATGCTAACACTTGCTATTTGTAAACATAAATGTACATTTCAAGTGTTTGAGAGCTACTCTAAAAAGATCTAAGGGATGACACTGGTCCTTGGAGATGACAGCTGGAGTGCCCATCATCACCCTGTGCTTTAAAGCTGGTACGTGTGTCAGAACACTTGGCTTTTTAAAGAGCTTAGTGGAAAGCCCATCATCTATAGGCTGACTCAGTTTTACGGCCAGTTCTTTATCTGTTTTTGAAATGGTAATTTTTTTTTCATTCTTTCATTTATGTTTCCAAAAAAAACAGAATATTTACTTTAGTTAGTGGCAAATACTTTTTAGCAACTTTGAAAATGACTTTCATCATTACTAAGTGTTAAGAAGATTCATTTAAATTTTTCCAATATATCTTCCACTTCATTTTATTTAGTAAAATACTAAATTACAGAGGTGCAGTATATTTTTTCAAGTCTTGAAACATCTTTTCTATCCTCATCGCCTATTCTTCTATAATCCATACTTCCCAAATCTTCCTCCTCTCTTAAATGATACATTTTCATGGTTAAGACAGCAGTACCTACAATGAGATGTGGACTGGATTTATGCCTTGACTGCCTCTGTGCACTGTGATCTTGGACAGCTACCTAATTTCCTCTAACTGTCACCAGTCTCCACAGCTGCCGAGGTGGGATAAGTGTGCACAACACTTAGCACATCAAACATAGCTGCTCTTTGTCCCCTTTGCTTGGAACATTCTTGTGAAGCAGTGAATATATGTCATCAATTCGGAGGAAGGCACAAACACCCATGATTCAATTTGGGTTCTCTTAAAATCTCATAACAGATTCACCTAGGCAGGGTTTATGTTAAGCTGAATTTTTCAGTTTAAGGGAGAGCTGCTCCTTTAGAAACAAGGAAGGCAGATGTGGATCCTCTCACCCTCTCAGAAAGTGCGAACATTCTCATCAATACAAAATTAAAGGGATTACACGGTTCTTTAAAAAAAAAGCTTGTGTAACTCTTCCAAATACAATTAGTCTAGGTATCTATTGACATTTCAGCTTTATTTATTGTACTGAAGGACAGACTGGTGAGATTTCAAACTTAAGGACTCAAAATAAACACCTGTTTATTTTCCTGTTTGGTAAAGCACTTTTCATATTAGACAAAAACAAACAAAAAAACAAGCAAAAAAGAGTTCTTTCATTTCAGTTTACACTAAATTCTGATGCTCATAAAAGCTTAAGGTACTTTAAGAAAGAATTTGCTCAACCTGGCAGATGCTAGGATATATTACTATACCCATATATGGAAGGATTTAACCAAAGTAGGTGGAAAGATCCATTAGATTTTTAGAATTTTGTGGTACAATAATTTCAAATTTATTTAGGAGCAAATTTTTGCCTACTTGCCCTTTGGTTATTGTTATAAAAAAAAATCTTTCCATTTTAGGAAATCACAAATATAAAAGACTAAGAACAAATTAAATGCATCTCAAGCTACGTTTCTGAATACACTTTCTTGGTCACCATGTAACTCAGTAATTTCAACAATACAAGACATAACTCACAGGGGTAGTTAAAAAAAAAAAAGAGGTAGTTAAGTTTATTCTAAATAGCAACATGAACCAACTACTATTCCCTGGATGATCAGACAAACCTGGGATTAACCCCTTTTAACCTCAATCTTGTTAATTTCAAAATACAAGACTTCATTATGCTACAATCCAACCTAATCCCAGGTACACTCAAAATGTTTGTCACAAATTTTACCAGCAGTACTGAGGCTTCCACTGCTGTCACTAACCTAAATCAACCCATGATGATTTATGCACAAGGAAAACGGGTCATGACTAAATTCTTCAATCAACATTTCCAGAATCCTTTAAAGAAAATACTTAGGGAACGAATGTTGATAATGGGGCAGGGGATATATGAGCAATCTCTATATCTTCACTTCTCAGTTTTGCTGTGAACCTAAAGTTGCTCTAAAAACAACTGTCTTAAAAAAACAACTGGAACATATTTCTTTTTTTGCCATCTAGTCCCATGAAACACACCTAAGAGTTTCAATTTACTAACTTTTAAAACTACTTAAAAATATTAATACACCACATTACACAAGCAGAAGACCTATTTTTAGAAAGAATGGGGGAATAAAGTCTGACTTCTGGTTTAAGCAGCTCTGCACACTGACATTATTACTTAGAACCCCCAAAACTTATCATAGCCTATCATAAAAAGATTTAGAAAATTATACTTAAATTGGTAGTAATAAAATTGGTGTAAAGTGTAACTATTATGAGTATCTGGAACATAATAGTGCTGAAACTTGATTAATCAAGCTCATTTTGTTCTTAGTGTGATTCTAAGAGTAAAAATTTCCTAATAAATCACAAAGGAACAGCAGTCTTAACAATGATTCTTTGTCTGGAATACAGTTAATAAAGCATACCTAGGATGCCACCGTCAAACCTCACAACCATCCCTACAGAGAGAGCCGGGAGCAGTATTAAAAACAGTATCTTGGTGGGTGGCAGCCACACGCTCACCTTGACAGTGGAGCCAGCGTACAGCCTCTGTGCAAGCAATCTTCCTGCCTGGATTGCTACTGGGGTGAGCTCCACCTTCCCCTCCAACACATCGCCAATGGCATAGATGTAAGGCACATTGGTCTGCTCCTCATCCGTGACGGGTATTTTTCCAGTCCTGCAAATTCATTCAGTTAAAATCATCATCAATTACCACTTTTAAGTAAGCAGAACAAAACCCCCTTTCTCCCAAAGAAGCCCAATACTGTGACCCTACCTGAGAGCAAAGTTCTAATTTATTATCAAAGCAGCACCACCACCAAAACTCAGAGGAACCAAAAGCTTAGAGATTCTGGCTATTTTGAAAATCAAAGCAATAGGAGGAAAATTTTAAGAAACAGAACAGTTCTCCTAGAACAGGAGAACTAGAACACCGTGGTTAAGAATTAGTGAGGATTCTGAATTGTTCTAATCAGGTCTGTTAGTTGTTACCTCTGTCATGTTGGAGAGCTATTTAACTCTAAGCCTCATTTTCCCACCTATAAATGGGAATAATGATAATAGAAATCAGAGTAAGAAGAAAAATACCACCAGTCTACCTTAAGGGGCTGTGAGGACTGAATGAGAATGCATATAAAACATTTAGTATAACAGTCCATGGCTCCCGGTAAGTACAGAATAAATGTTAGCTATTAATATTAGACAAAATGGAAAACCCTGGCCTTAACAGGAAACATGCTAGATGGTTATTAAGGTGGTGGAACATTTAGTCTGCTAAATTTTATTAGACCTCCTCAACTCCCTTGTCTCTCCCACTCAAGGAAAAAATAATAATAATAAAGCAAAAATCTTCACACTAAGATTAAGAATCTCTTCTCCTGAATAAATGTTATTCCTGAAAGGTGGAGGTAAAGAAAAAACGGTCCTATTTTCAGTTTCCAAGGCAGCTAGCAGTTCACAGCACTTGTGTACTTGTTTTCACTTGGATGTAAGAAAGGTGACATTGGGAAATACCCCACGCCACCCCCATAAGCAGACAACAGTCTCTATTATCTAGTATAGTCCGAAGGATTTTACCTGTTAAAACCTTTGAAAAATCAGTTTTCAGATTTGTAACTGTCACTAGAAATGTAGTGACCACTCTATTATCATAAAACTTGGTAGCTTTAAATTAAACATGGTTCAAATCTACGTACTTGATGAAACTTTCAAAGCACATACCTGCAATTAACTGGGGAGGGGTCTTTTTCTGTACACATAAACATTTAAAGAAACAATATGCAAGGCAGGGTATCTTTCATTTAGATTTTGAAGAGGGGAAAAGAAGAAATACTGTGAGTGGCACTAAAAGAAGAGTTTTCTAAGCTTAAAAAGGGATCTTGCCAACTATGGTAAAAACTAACTTAAAAAATCTAAGACTCCAGTATTAATCAATCTTATAAATAACTAAAATAGTATTTAATAGGACATAATAAAGGTTTTTTTTACTTACTTTTCATTTATTTTTACCCCCACAGTTTCTAAGCCGATTTTTCTTGTGCAAGCATCTCTTCCGATTGCCAGCAGTACCTGAAAAATTATTAATATATAGTGACTGTTAACAAAAAGGCTATGCATGAGTTTTTTTATCATATTTTTCTCTGCTTATTAAGCCAATCTGATTCATTTTCCAGACCCGGAAAGAAATAATACATTAAGAAAATAATGTAAGAGTTAAAACAAATCAAAATTATTTAAATTAAATCTTCTGAAGATGATAAAGTAAAAATCCTTACCCATTTCTTGTTAAGAAAAAGGGAGGGAACAATTCCTTAATAAATCTAGCCAAGTTTAGAGACAAAGACAGCATAGCCTATAACTAAATTATTTTAAGTGGTGAGCAGGGGGAGATAAAAGAACATGGGGCAGAGAAATTCTAGCTCATTTAAAAGTGCTGACACTTTTTAATCACGATTTGACAAACAAGATTTAAGTTACAGTGGAGAAAATCTGAAGCCATCCCTGTAACCAAAACAAATTATAATATCACGAGTAATAAAGATGTCTTAGAACAGGAATAGAACCAAGGGTTTCAGAAATAGTAAACAGCCATATTATTACTCCCCAGCAAATATCCAAAGAGCGCATTATTTGCTTTCTGATGAAGTGTGACCGAGGCCCATTCTTACCGTGTTGTACTCTTCTTCGATGGTTGTGTCACCATTGGTGGACTTCGCTACCACCCTGAGTCGGCCTGGTGTCCCAGCTTCAATTTGTTCAACCTGTAAGAGTGATAAAGTCTTACTCCACAGTAAACACATGTGTCAAGAGGATAACTGTGCCTTCTCCTTCTATCTGGTTAACCCAAAGTTAAAACACAAAATCTGGCTTTCACGTCCCACCTTTCTCACGTTAACATCATAAGGATGATATGTGATTCTTTTATTTACCCTCTTCTCACTGCTTAGTATTTGCTAGAGGGGCTTTCTTTCTGATAGTTCTCAAATAGAACAGAGCTCAGAGAGAAACATGGGAAAGGAAAAAGTCCAGAGAAAGTGCACTGCAGTCTCTAAAAGTAAACCAGTGACTTACTGCTTCTCCCAGGTTCCTAACTTCTAACTTACCCAGAACCATTAATCCCCTGGGGCTCACATTCATAGATTCACTTTTGACTACAATGTTCAGCTTTGCCAACAAAGAACAGACATGGGAGTAGGTCTGTTGTGATACAGTTAAGAGCCTGAAATCCCTAAAAATCATAAGGGGCATGGAGGTATGTGTCACAACTAGGGGCTGCTTTCAGTTGTTAAGGGTGTACGGAGAGTGAGCAAGTCCTGGTACTTGTGCTGTGGCAAATGAGACTGAACACACTTAGCCTATTACACAATGAGGTCAACCACCAAATCATCGGTTTCCGTAAAACATTTACTAGGAGAAAACCCATAAAATCATCCGCAAGTTCTACTCTTCCTGTAAAATGTAACACACTCTGAATGGGAAAACTGTGAAGAGTTATTTTATTTTCAACATCAACAAATAGAAAAGATTTCCTTCTAAAATTCCCTTCATTTGTTAAATAGTGAAGCCCCTCTGAATATATTGAAAATGTCTTTCCTGTTCAATTTAAGTTAAAACATTCTAATCTTTGGAGAAGAGTTGAATTGATTCATGGCTTAGATCTGCTTAAGAATAAGGGTCTCATCCCACCTCAAACTCCTCCCTGCCTTACTCACTTCTGTGTTCCAGTCAGGCCTTTTCTGTATCCAGAACACTTTCTGCCTTTGGAAGAGTTTTATCCACACAGCCTTTTTACACATGCTATATTCTTTATCCAAAATGCACTCTCTCCCTTCCCTCTGCAGAAGGCTTCTTCCACTCACTCACTTTGTAATACAGCCAGCATTCACTTCCCGCCTTCAGGGATCAGAGACACCCTGGTAACCTGAGCAAAATGCTATGTATACAGACACAGGTTGATGTCACCTGGGATAGTCCACCATATTCTTAGAGGCCCACAACTCCCCAAATGTTAAGCTATTATAAAGGAAGACGATGCCGTTCCATCAGCACAGCATACACATACAGCTGTCATCTTCCCATCATAGTCCTAATGCTAACACAATCCTCAGGAGAACTCTGAGATAGGTGCTATCTATTACCATCATTTTACAGAAGACACCGAGGCTCCGAGAAATTAAGTCATTCTCCCGAAGTCATATAGCAAGAAACTGGCAGAACAGTATTTGGACCCAGGTTATTCTGATCCCAGTGCTCATACTGTTACCTCTCAGCTACAAGAGATTCATGGTCCTGCAAACAACCTAAGTTACTAACCCATGAAGTTATTTTTTAAAAGACAGCAAAAATTTCTTAACTTTAACAAAATAGTCCCATCCTTACTTGCACTAAAGGAAACTATTAGTTTAAGATATGCAAAGTGATAGATTTGTCACTTTATGTATCAAAACATTTGTGGTAATATTAACAAGTCCCAGATATAACTTGGCTTATTATTCAGCATTTTTGAAAGAAGATTAAATGAGCAAAAAAGGTCAGTCCACATAACAAAATTAAATAATCATTTCCAGGGAAGCCAGAATAATATAATGCACCTGTGAACTACATTGTATACCAAGGAGGAATGTCTTTTGAGAAGAAAAAAAAAGAAATCAGCCTAGTGTTAAAACTCTTATTTAAATCTCTGGTATGTAGGAAAAAAAGAAAGTATAATAGACCAAAAATAATAAGATAATGGAATGTATAAAGGGAAGCATTAAACAGAAGAGAACAAAAGGTGGTAAAGCTGAGAACGGAAGGAAGAAATTATTAATTTGCAAATAAGAACAAAAGCTATCTAGGTGGTAAGAAGGTGTAAGTTTATACACCCAAATCACACACAGAACTACTCATGTTAGCATTCCTAATGGTTTATAACACCGAAAGGATGCTCCAATCATCCACCCCAACTCTTTCTCGCATAGTATAGAATCAACAAACCTCTAAGCAACCCCACTTACTTTTATTGGCACAAACTGCCTTATAAACTTGACACCGTGTTCTGCCATATGTTCACCAATTCTGTTGGCCATGTCCTGGTCAAACCCTCTAAGGAGAATGGATCGTACCATAACAGTCACATCTAAACCTATGCCAGCAAGAAATCCAGCACATTCCAAAGCGACATAGGATGCTCCGACTACCAGGGTCTTACCCGGGCAATAAGGTAAAGAGAAAAGATCATCACTGGAAAAAAATTAAAAAAAAAAAAAAAAGAAAAGAATGAGAAAAATGTTCATATGTGAATAATGACCAAATCAAAGTAAACATTTTTACTTTCTTAAGAACAAGACACTTTTCAGATTAAAAGCATACAATTGCTACACGCATAATACTTGAGAAGCTTTTATAAGGTCTCAGACACTCCCTTTCCAGCCACTCAGTTCCTCTGGGAGTAGCTCAAGATCCCGTGGCTAACCACACAAACCATGTAACTCTGACATTAGTCCAACCCATGATCAAACAGTATTATTTTGTACTATTTGGAATAATTCTCCATTTATGCGTTTAGAAATCATACATTTGCAAACCCAAATCCCCACCCTCAGCTCTTCCTGGTGGAAACCTGTGTTACTTCTCATCTACAATATTATCAAGAGAAGGGAGAGAGGTGGGAAAAAACTTTCAATGTATGGGTTTCGGAATATGAAAGCCAACTGTAAAAAGCAAAACATGACAAAATCTTCCAGGAGAGGAAGATATAAGACATGAAGAGATCATAAAAGCATCATCAGGGAGTGAGATTTTAAAATATGAGAAGGGAGACCATCCAAAGCCAGCAAGGACAAGAGCTGTCATCTGTGCTGCCCCAGAGGAGGCACAAAGGATAAAATCATATTATAATAAAAACAAGTAACTTACAACACAATCAGGAGCTCCTGGGCAAAAAGCAACTAAGAGGACCTATCTACCAACAATCTGTCTTAACAACTTGATAATTCAAAACTTCTGAACAACAATGTTTTGATGGGCTAAAATAAATCACACAGCAAAACCTTGCTTGACTCATTTATTTCAGAAGGTCCCTCTACATTGACACTGCAACCATTCAAAGAGCAATCAGTAAGGAAAAACTAGAGTTTAAGAAACCTAAATGGCGTGCTATCCCTCGAATTCTTTTAGCAACCACATTAAAACGTAACACACATGATACCAGTTTTGCAAAAAAGGAGAAAAAAGTACATACATATGTATCAATTATTTTACAAAATGTGAATATCCATCCGGTTTTACATAGTATACATTTGTAATATATATTCACATATATAAATTTCAAATACAAATACTATAAGCATATATCTATGTTAGTGGTGATATTAACTCTGGGTGATAAGATGATCAACATTTAGTTCTGGATTTTTTAAATGTTCTCTTTTGTGAAATAGTTTTTCCTTTCTCTTTTTCCTAATCCCTTGCCCCTTTCAGCAAAAAACATGGTGAAAAGCTAAGTTCCAGGAAAAGAATCAAATGGATTTGAAGAAAAAAGACTAGCTCGTCTTTTCTTCCTGCAGTTTGTCCTTACCTGCTGATGCAGTATTCTCTGTCACCAGGAATATCCAAGTAACGTGGCCTTTCACCAGTGGCAATGAGGAATTTCTCTGCTGAATAAATTTTTTCTCTGCCTTTGTTATTTGTTGCCTACAAGAAACCAATGTATCAATTTTTAGTAAGTTATCATCAAATGAAAAAGGCTGTTTACCATATTGTCCAATTTGATCCTCAGAAAAATCTGCTAATGCAGTAAGAAAGGGATATTAAGACTGAGTAGTTAAGAGACTTGTTCAAGGTGACAATGCCAGGAAGTGGCAGAGCCAAGACTCAAATCCAGGTAACCTGGCCTCAAATCCAGTCCTCTTAACCCTTTACTGCACCACCGTAAGAAGTGACTGCAAACCACCGAACTGGACGGTCTTGGTCACAGGGGCTATTACTTTTATTAGAATAATCACATTTTTTCTTTTCCTCCCTGGCCCCCAACGAAGGCTTAAAAACACAAACAAAGAAAAGCTACTCAGGCTGTCACATTACCTTAATCTTATGAGGACCAACAAACTGCCCGTACGCATTCTCATAGGTGACTTTCTTCTCCCGCAGAGCTACGCGGTAGCCCCAGTTCAAAGAGCCAATGTGGTTCTGCACAGCTTCTGTCATTCTTTCCCAGTCATGTTTAACTGCACAAGAAAGTAAGATAAAACGATCAGCTTTCCCACTACCTGGCAGATATCATTCCTCAGTAACTATTTGGTCTAAAAGGACAAGTCCTTCATTTCAAGCACATAACATTTTCATCTTCACGTATTCTCTCCCTTTTAGAAAATGACCATACAGCTTAGTGCAAAAATCCTGGCAATTCTCAAAACTAAAATAACCATACCTGAACTTTTTCTTCTTTATCTAGAGACAAACAAGAATTTTACCTTGGATTGTGAACAGATTGCTCAGGTAATGAGGTGTGGTGAGGCCCAGGATTTTGTATGTGTAACAGTCACCAAGGGATTCCGAGTAGCCAGGCTTGGAGTTACTAAACTGGTAACAGCATCCAGAGTAGGGGCTGGCAAACTATGGCTCCACCAGCCAAATCCAGCCAAACACCTTTTTTTTGTAAATAAAGCTTTATTGAAATCCAGCCACGATCATTTACTTACATACTGTCTAGGGCTGCTTTTGTGCTACAATGATACAGTTGAGTAGCTGTGACAGAGACCAGATGGCCCACAAAGCATAAAATATTTACTATCTGGCCCTTTACAGAAAAAGTCTGCTGATCCCTGGTCTAGATAGAGAGTTTTAAGAGTCTCTTTGCCCGCCCCCCAAAACCCCATCTCACCAGAGAGGAAAATCTTTTAAATTCTATCATAAAATTAATCCTTTGAGCCAAAGCACTAATATAACATTAAATTTCAATGGATAAAAATCAATCCTTTGTCATTCATTCATTAATAATTAACAATGAATGGCTCCGGAAAAAAAACAGGACACAGGTAAAACATATTTTGGTGGCAGCAGGAAGGCAGGTTCTGGGGAAGCTGTGGTTTTGAAGCAAGGAAAACAGAATCAACGTAAACTGAGAAGAACTGTCACAGAACTGAGAACTGAGTCAGGGTTAAGTAGCTTGGCGAGGCAGGAAGTGGTAAAATCAACTCTATGAGAACCAGTGGCCAGCCTCTGGAAGTGGGAATGACAGCACAAAAATTGGTTTGTGGCCAAGAGGAAGAAGAGAAGAGATAACAGAGATTCAATTCATATAATCATAAAATATCTGAACTAAAGCAAACCTTCAGGGATCCATTCAATAGTTTAAAAAAAAAAAGCTTTGACTGCGGGCAGCCACTGTGGTCATGGACTAGGCGCTAGGGCATGGGAACACTGCAGAGAGCCTCGACCAACCTGTTGGTCTGACCTCCATCTACCACCACTTTAAGAAGACTCACTGTTTCCCCACCAGGAATAGAACAGAACCATGTAACTCACTCCCACGTGCCAATCATCTAGCTGCAACAACTACCAACATTTTACTAATCTCATTACACATTCATCTCTTTTTGTACCAGGATACTTTAAGTGAATCCCACACATCATTTTACTGGTCGTGGTTCTGGTTGTCACTGTGACTTTGGGATACCCAAGGGCCAGTGATTTTAAATATCCTTCACTATAGTTTGTTACAACTCAGAGCTATCTGGCCCAACGTGCCAATAACGCCTCCGGGGAGAAACAAAAAACAGAATCAAAGGAAGGATTCACTTCTGAAATTTTACAGTGGTAGGAGTCCTAAACAGATTATACTCTGCTAATCCTACAGGAAAATACCATATTCTAAAAGAAAACATTAAACTATTTCAGTGAGAGAAATTCAAATTCAATGATAAGACCTAATCCAAGCTCAATTCTGTTAAAGCCTTCCTTTGTAACTGTCAGGCCCCACCTGACTTCTAAACTCCTCAAATCTCCTTTTCTCTACCAAAGTTCCTTCATTCCCTGGTACAATAGGCGGTCACCCATCACTAGTGTGATTATGCTCAGGTAGGAGAAATTTAAAAGTTCCAGCCCACCAGTTTGGGATTCAGCACCCAGGACTCCAGCTGTTCCCTATGGTCCCGATCTTGCATTCCATTCTGAGAACTGAGTTTCTGTCTTGTAAAATCTTGTAAAAAAAAAACTGTTCTACTTTATATGTTACCAGTGGTAACTGGATCCTTATGGACTGTGGGTGGTGATGTGCCCAGAACCCCAGTTCTCCAGGGTTGCTCTGCCTTCCAATAATACCCAAACCCACCACCTTCCTGCATTCCCAAATACTCCCAAATACTCCAATACTCCTCATCCCAACTCAGTCCACTCACTGGCAGAGCCCCAGCGTTTCCCCTAGGCCTCCTGCTTTGGCTGGCTTCATCGACCAGTGGTAATGCAATGCTGAGCCTCTGCAATGTAGATTCCAGCTGGCTAGGCAGGACTTGTATTTCACCCGGATGTCTCCTCACGTCCACCTCAGCAGCTGGACTCTCTGCTGCTTCTGATCTGCCCCTACCCATAATAGAGCAGGCCACATCCTTAGAGTCACCAACAGTAATCAGGCTAATGAAGCTAACCAGCATCTCTACCTGCTCACCTGAACCTCGAGGCACCTGAAGGGACACAAATTATTTCCATTATATACACAGGGAAATGAAGGATGGGTGACCTGCGCAGGGCCACACACAAACTCAAGGCCATCACAGCCACACAGTGTATGAATCATGTGTAGGTGTGTAGTGGGGGAATATGTACATCCAGAAACTCTGCAGGTCCCCGACTGCAAACCAATGACCTTGCTTTCCCTCTAGTGACAACAGGATTCTAAAACTTCCAAAATGCTTGATTTTTAAAGGCAAATTTACTTTTTGAGCACAGAAGAACTCAAATAAATAAACCTGAAAAAATATGAAACCAGTAAACCCTCCAGAAAGGACCGATTCACCCAGTTTATATGGCTCACAGCTCAAGCAATTTTTTTTAAGGCCTGAGACTTTCCCGGGCACATTCTCAGCTTGGAGCTTTCAGGAAAAGGGCAGATCATGGCTGAGTCCTGGACATGTCACTCCCCCGTCACCAGGCAGACTCAGCTGAGCTGCCTGGCCCAGGTCCCATTCCTCCCTCACCCTGCTCACAGCTATTTGCAGTGTCAGAGAAGACAGTCTTCCAAGAAAGCTGGAACACTGTTCTTTGGTCAAGGACACGAGATTAGATGTGTTTTCATTTGAAAAATGAAGAATAAGCCTGCATGCTTCATCTGTTGGGAGCATGGATTAAGCAGCCTTTAAGGGGTTCTCATCTGAAAAATAACACCTCTGAGTTTCTTTCTTCTTCTAAGACCCAATGACAAAGTAACTGGACTTTGTCTAAATCTACAGAATTCTTCATCACAAGCATTCTAGCACAAAAAGCAGGGAGGCAATGAGTGCTCCCTCAGAGGTGGGTCCCGGCTGGCCCGGCGGACCACTCCCAACACGCCCAGCTCTGGTTCTCAGAGCCAGGCCACACCTTGCTTCAGAAGGCCTGCGGCCTAAAGAGAAAAGCGAAGATAACAATAAAACCACCGGGCTTCCATTTAGAAAGAGCAAAAGGCTCTAAAGAGAGGGCACAGCTCTTCACCAGCTCTCGTCAAGAGACTTGGGGATTGCTGCTGCTCACAAATGAGTACAGGGGGTAGAAGGTATACAAACAGAATCTGGAAAAGGGGAAGAAACACAAAATAGCTGAAACTGTTAAAAACTAGTTGAATAAATAATTTCTGTAAGGGTTGGTCCAAGTTTTAAAACTCCGTGAAATTCAGGGAGCTTTTGCTGGTTCTACCGTGCAGATCTGGACCATGCTGGTAGTGGCTTCCTTATTGCCTCAATCACTGGTTCCTTACTATGTAATTTAGAAATAAATTCAACATACATAAGCATAGCCACTGCTTATTATGGCTACATGACAGCCACATACATATTCTTTTGCTGGAAAGTTGTGTCAATTCACTTTACATTTCACCACCCACTCGGTTACTGAATTTATTAAAATTATATGTAGTTGGCCCTGTTAATGAAATTCACTCAGCAGAAGCCTGTACCTGTTTCTTGTCTTTTAAAGATTCTAAAGACCCACTATATATTTTTTCCTAAACATTTATAACCATATGAAGCTATTCTGTTCCACTGACTTCATTTTCCCTAAGAGTTGATAGTTTAAAGCAAACGTCAACTAGTACAACACACCAATTTGGGTATGAAACCTTACATAAGTGAATACAATTTTTATGACTCTAAGTTATAGCACTGTTACTTGTGAAGATTTAAGGGCCAGTGGCAATCAGTATGAAAAACAAAGTACATGGAAATATAACTGCATTAAGTCAAAATTTGCTTGAAACAACCTTATTTTTCCAACAAATTCTAGACTTTGTCAGATTAATATTCTCATTACATGTCCTTCTCTAAGAGGAAATTAACTTGGTTTAAATACACAACTTTCTATAATATCTGTGAATGTTTTTCTACAACCCATTAGACAAAGAACCAAGAAAAGTACTTGACTGAGTCTACTCCAATTTACTGAAACTCTGAATGGAAGAATTAAAAGAAGCGAGTCCAGGAGGAAGGTTCAGAAACTAACATTTGTTGACGGGTATGTATTTTAATCATACTATTGTATTTAATCCTCACCACACAGGCAGTAAATAGCAAAGTCACAATGAGGGCACAAGTCTACCTACTCTAACAACCTACCCAGTACGATGGGACAAGTTGGCAGGGGTAATTCTAGGATTCTAGGGAAAAAGTCTCACTGAGAACACTGGTAAAGAGCATGGAATGGTGGGGGTGGGGGAATCATAGACCTTAAGAGAGTGGTTAGAAAATAAAAAAGAGAGTGGTAGTTCTTAGGTTTTCCTCCCAAAGACAGAAGAGAAATTGGAGCATAATCTACAGACCACACACAGAACTCACCCCTTCTGGGGAGCATGTGGTGAAGAGAGGTGCACAGAGAGAGCAAAGGCTTCCATGTGCCCCTACAACAGCTCCCAAAAACTGCCCCTACAAAGGAGCTGCCACTGAAGCCACGAGGGCTCGTGGTGTAACCTCACGTGCTTTCAAGTCAGAAAGAACTCAGTCTAAATCTTAGTGCCAACAATTTCTTAGCTGTGACATCCAGCTACTCCACTCCCTAGATCTATGGTCTTTACCTCCTTTCCCCACTTTCTTCCTGCTACTATCCCAAGAACCACACAAGGAAGTATCTGGAAGCATCTGTTCAAACTTGCCCTTAGCAAAACCGTGCAGCCTGCTAGGCTGATCTGCATTCCTCCTACCACCCTCGCACCAAACCACCCAGAGTGTTCTGCCCACAGTAACAGTCCTCACACTCCTCCTCATGGATGTCCCCCTCCACAGGCACCTGCTCTAGCCACACTGGGATATCTGCTATTCTTCAAATATGCACCTTGTTCATTCTTCTCTCACCATCTAAATGAAGTAAACCTTCCCCCCCTCCCCCCCGCTGATGGTTAAGGACACAACATCTAAGAAATCATCTCCAGTCACCTCTTAAATCACACTCACCAAGCCCACCTCTGGGCTCCCGGGTACCTAGTTGGTACATTAATGACATCAGTACATCATGGAGAGCAGAATCTGTGTACCTACAGGATTTGTGTCACTTATCTCTGTATTTCCCCAGCACAGACACCAGTGCAAATAGGGAGGTGCTCCCTAGTAATATACAACCTCACTAGCAGGATTTCTACACTGTTTACTAAGAAATCTAACACATTAACTGAAGGGTGCCCCTGTTGTTATCTGAGTATATTAATAGGAGGAATTTCCAGAAAGGGAAAGAGTGAGTTAATGGCAGACCTTGTCAAGCATTCAGACCAGGGAGTAAACAAAAACTGGAGGGGGTCAGGATGGGGAGGCAGAAGAATGGAGGCAGACTAGTAGAAGAGTATGTGTTAAATTCTTGTTCCATAGGTCAAAAGTCTGCTCAACTACACTTTCTGTTGGACAAGAGAGAAGGACACAGAGCAAGACATCTCAGAATCGAACAAAATTCCCAGTACCAGCCTCAGGCCTCCAAGGGTCATGGACAGAAAGCAGCCTTGTGAAGGTCAGAGGAGAGAGAGATGACCCCGGGTGTAAGAAAACTTCAGTAAAAGCATCAACAAAGGCAGCATAACTAGCTTGAGTAAGAGCAACATTTTTCAAAGCATGTATTTATGCCTTTAAAAATGTATAAATTTAATAAACTGTTACTTAAAACTCAGAAAAAGCCACAAAATAAATTACCAGAGCTACTGGGTAGAAGATTTTCCCTCAAATGTCCCAAGTCTACAGATCTCAAAACTAAAATCAGGTAGGAGTTGTAGTTTCACCCTTCAAGGACACCGTGACCAAGGTAATTAATGAGCCAGGAAGCTGTGCCAGACATTTTTGTTTTTCCAACAGATAATGCAGTCTATTTTCTAAAGTCAACAAATTCCTCTTCAACTTTTCCAGGGTTTCTAAGGCACTCGAAATATTTTTAATCCAACAAGGACTAACTATTCCTTTCTTAACAAACAATCCCTCCAAGTATCAACTCATGAAACAGACTTCTTTGGCGAGAGAAAAAATTAACAGCATCAAAGCCCTTACGAAGCTCTGTATGATTATGAGAATTTATTTGGAAGAACTCTGGTTTTCTGTTATAGAAAGATACTCCAAATGCAGTATCTGTTCTTGCCATAATAGCTACGTGGCTAACATGACACAGGATAACTGCAGTGATTTTACCTACTTAAACACAAAACAAAAAAAAAAATAGAAACAACTTTCAGGTTACTTGCTAGTCTTATAAAAATGGATGGTGCATTGCAAGACCCCAGCTCAAATCCCTCAAAAGCATGAGCAGAAGAGTGGCTTCCCCCACATACCAGTCTCCTCCACGTTCCACCCATAATTCCGAGAGTCTCGTAGGGCTTGTCCTAACAAAGCTGCTTGGTGCATCAGTTTTTTAGGTATGCAACCCACATTCACACAGGTTCCTCCGAGACCTGCAACAATGTTGAGAAATCAGTTTATAGCCTGCCCTAGAATCCTCCACAGAAAAAGGCCAACGATTATTACTGCTGTCAGGGAGGGGTAAATTTCCCCCTCTACCACTCCTTAGTTCTTGTGGTTGGACTAATAATAAATTCGACATAAGATAAACAGGAGAAAAAGAAAATTTAATTTGTGCACATGAAGGTGTCATAGAAATGGGACCTAAGAAGTGGCCAAAGCAGGCAGGCAGCTTTTATAACTTTTCAAACTAAGAAACAATACATGTTTGAGGAATTGACAGGACCAAGAAACAGCATACGCAGTTGAAGAATCTAAACCATGTTTGTGCTTGGGACAGTAAATTATAGAAGCAACAAGGTTTGTTTATATAGGCTTCTTAGCCCCAGATTCCCTATCTTTTGTGGTAAGGGTGTCCTTCTACCACCAGACATAGGGAGTGCACCTTTCATGTCATTTATTTCCTGCTATCAGGGAGACAGAAGGTGGGTCACAGTGTTTCTCTCGCATTGGCCATTTCTTAAGCAACTTTAATTCAAAATAATCAATATGCCATCGTGCATGTTTTGGGGGCAGCCTGCCCTAAACCCCGACACTATTTTATTAAGCATAATTTATTTGCCTAATGTGGTCAATACTGTTTATTCAAGTTTATTCCTTAGTCTTGAGACATTTCTAAGTTCAGAAAGCCTTACAGACCAACTATAGTGACATTATTCTAAAACAAAAATGAGCAGATTTCCACAACTTCCATGTACTTGGAAAGAGTCAAAATTCATTGACTACTGGTAAAGATGTCAGAAACTGAATGCACACAACATTATACTCGCTAACAAATCTATGAAGAGAACTAACATAAAGGGACTATTGAGCTGGGCATGGGTGGACTGCAGTGGGTCTGGAACCACATGTAAAAGTTGGTGTACATGAGCATTTCTTCAAGGAGGTGGTCTACAGCCTTTGTCGATTCTCACAAAAGGATTCATGACACCCCTCCCCACCCCAAAAAGATTTAGTGTCTCTAAGCTTAAAGAACATGGTGATAGCTTGCTTCCATTAGAACAAAGTGTAGGCTGGAGGGGAGGCAGTCAAAACGGCACGAGTAAGAGTGCAAGATGGCAGTGGACTTCAAGCTTAGGAAACCTAGGCCCTCTGGGGAGAAAGCTACATGGGGTGTGAGCTCCACAGGCCAGAGTGACTCTGCCCAGCATGAGACACCTAACAAGTATTTGCTGAATGACTGAATTAGAAATTGTGACACTGTCTTACCCAGACTTCCTGCCTCCTTCTAATTTGAGCAGCTGGATCATTTTAATAAAATTTACCTATCATATGACTCCCCTCCTCAAAGGCTTCCCACTGTGTTTTGATTATCTGGTCCAAATTCCTCTTCTTGGCCTACAAGGACCTGTACAGTCTGATACTTGTCCTTCTCTCCAATCTTACCTCCAGCTCCTACCATCCATGCCACAGGCATGAAGAACTCTTAACAACACCTACCCCAGGGCCTTTGTGTGTGCTTTTCTGTGAGAAAGACAGAGAAAAGTTGCCTGTAAGGTTCTTCCTCAGCTTTTAGCACAGTTGGCTCATTCTTACTCTCTGACCTCATCTAAATGCCACCTCTTCAGAGCTCTCCTTTTGATAATCTTCTCAAAGTCAAATTCTTCTTTATCCCATTCCTCTCTATTCCACCAAATCATTTTTTCAGTACCAGGTATCATAATTCATAATGTTCTTTTGTTTCCCACTAGAATGAAAACCCCACAAGGGCAGGAATGTTATACCTACCATGTTCATTGCTATATCCCCATGGCCTTGGTTCATAGTAAGTGTTCAAAAAATATTTGTTGAATAAATAAATAATGAACACAGAATTCACCAAGATGCAGAAGAAGCAAGAACTATCCATTAAGGTATGATTCCCGTTCTTGTTGGATGTAGGAGGTGGATGTAAAACAGAAATCTACAAAGAGTTTTAAACTTTCAGTTATTAAACCCCTAAGTACCAGGTTACTCATATATATATACAGCTTTAAATCACCATTAATAGCTGTGGATAAGGCTTTGTATTATCTTAACTCTGTGCCAAGGAACGGAAATTTTCAACATTTAACTGGGGTTCATTTTAACTTAGCGCAAGTGAAAGTAGTACATGTCTGGTTTTGTGTACTTTTTTTAATTTTTAAATTTTTAAATTGGGTTTTAGAAGTCATTTAAACCAACACCAGGGAAAAACTCTGTTTAAACAAATTCACTTCTAAGGTATTTTCAAAGCTTACCCCATCTAGTTCCAAGAGGGGTTGGAGTGACAAAATCCAGAACCATCACCTTCTTGTTATATTTGGCTGCCTCCTGGAAAATAAAATTATTAAAATGAGTTAGACTGGTTAATATGAGTTAGAATGGTTAATATGATGGACTGGAAATGGGCTGTTAAAAATTCACGCTGTTTTTATTAAGCTGTAACACCTAAAGCATAACTAGTTATTAATACCTGGGAATTTCATATGCTAAGATGATTAGTGCAACTTCAAGATAAAAATTAAGCAATACTTAGTCACAAGGGTAGCTTTAAAGAAAACACAGATTACAGCTGTAAAACTGTCAAGAGTCTGATGGAAACTCTAGAAACCTTTTACATAATTCCACTCAAACAATAACAAATTAAGCAATAATCTGACAAATATGTGGCCATTTCTAAGCAAGTGGTAAAAAGCCAGTGAAATAGATATACTGATACTCGACAGTCCACAATTCACCCTGTACCCAATAAGATAATGTTTTTGTACCTCTACATTTTATCTAACTCAGTTTATAGGCAGAATACTGGAGAAGGTTTTCTTCTGAAATTGTTAAGATTTCCTAAAATGTTCATGTGAAGAGCCAATGGAGAAGTTGAAGATCTCTATAACGTTTCCAAATATTTTAGGGGAGTGGTGACAACAGTCAGAAGTTCATTTTGCAGAGTATGCTTGATCTTTCCCAGAGAATTAGTTTTGTGTATTTGCAACCAGACCTCCAAAGGTGTTGTGAAAGGACTGAGTCTATGTGTCCTTCAGTAATTAAAAAAAAAAAACTAAAAGGCTCACCCCTGAGTCATTTACAGCAAATCACTGCTTGACAGCAGAGTGGCCTGCTCCCAACTTGAACAGTTGCACTTGAATCTATCTTCACTGATTCACCACAAGCTACACCTTAGAGGAGTCCAGCCACCTCATCTTTTAAAAGAAACTGCTGGGGAGGAATAGCAGGCCTAAGGGCCCCTCACATATGGAAAATGTTCAGGGCCAGGAGCCCCACTCCTCACCTCCCTTGTTTGTACACCCTCTGCTCCACCACCCCCAGGCCACAGAGTTAGTGGACTCTTAGCTCACCTCATATACACAGAAGGCAAGCACTCTTAATAATTAAGTCTAAGAAATCCAACTGCTCTCCATCTTTCTATTGGGGAGGTGGGGTTGTGAACAGCGAAATCATCAAAGTGGAAAAACCTAACAATTATATTTATAAAGAATAAAAATGTATTTATTTAATTTCAAGCCATTTCCAACATAAACTCCTTATCACCTTAAAAAATCAAACTTAAAATAAATAAAAATATGTCCCAAAACACTGGGCCCAATATTTTTATAAAAAGAACATATAGCTCAACTTGGGAAAATGTCCTTTATCATGCCCTGCCCAAGTTAACATATACATAATGTCACAAGAGTAGCTCAAACAAATTCCACCAAGAACCTGAGAACTTGGTCAGGGATGTGACTTCTCTATCCATATCCCAGAGCGCATGAGAAGCCTTGCCTTAGCCGCTGCCAGTCCTCCCGAGCCTCCTCCGATGATGATGAGGTCATAGTCATAGGACTCGGGGAGATCCTCAGAGCCATTCATTTTCTGTAGCTTTTGAAGTCTGTCCTCCTGATAAGTCTAAAGAAAAACAATGGAAGGGAAAATAATTTTACTTAAAAGCAGCAACGTCTGAGAAGTTTTGTGAGAAAAGCCTTCTTTAAAGAACAGTGAAAGGGGAAAATACTGTTTGGTTTATACTACAGCACACAACTAGAAATGCTCAGCCTTCCCTCAAGTGGTGATCAGTGACCTGCGTTCTGAGACTGTCCTACTTCCTTTCCACATCAGAGAGCTACTTTGAAGTGTTCACACAGTACTTCTACAAAAGTAAGGTCCAGACAGACCGATAAAATCAACTTTGGCCTAAATTAAGTTTGACTAGCTCTTTTTCCCTAGAATTCTTAAACTAGGCTTTAAATTAGTTTAAAAAACATCAGTACTGTATGTTTTTAAAAGACCCAATACAATCTAGCAATTATTCTTACTTTCTAGTCAAGGGCAGAATGAGTGGGCTAAGGTCTCAGATTAAGATAAAAGACCTGGTAAAGAGCAACTAAAACAGATCAGCCAAATATTTAAGACTTCGGTACATTGTTTAGGTAAAGCACAAAATCTAGAAATTCAGAACAATCCTTAATTGACATTTACCTGCATGAAAAGTTAAATGTAAAAGCCCCTGCTTCTGCAAGGTATTTTATTTATTTTAATTTATTTTTTAATTGAAGTATAGTCAGTTTACAATGTGTCAATTTTTGGTGTACAGCATAATAGTTAAGTCATACATACACATATATTCATTTTCATATTCTTTTTCATTATAGGTTACTACAAGATACTGAATATAGTTCCCTGTGACATACAGTATAAACTTGTTTATGCAAGGCATTTTAAATAAAAGAAAAAAAAGTGCTAAATAAATAAGCAACCCTTAAAGCTCGTTTCTTTAATCTACCTATGCACAAAGCCTCCTGTATTTAGTACTTGGTTTCCATGTTCTTGGCATTTACAATGTAAATGTTAGATTTTTAACTTTAGAAAAATCCTTTGATTCCATTTGTTTTAATACATATTAGTTACATTTCACCTTAGGCTGGAACATTATTTTGGTGATATATTTAATATTAACTTTCATTAAAACAAAAATCTGTGCTAACATGAGATAATGATTGGAAAAGTTGATAAGCACAAAATAATACTTTTTAAAAAATCAAGTTTTAACTTTAATAATTAAAAAGCCCCCAAACTTACCAGCCCAGACTGCCCATTTTTCTCCTGCCTACCATTAGATGTGAGGGGCAAAAGACAGAGCTTAGAGTCAGTAGGACAGCCGGCTTGGGATGCGGAAGGGGGTGCGGTGGAGGAAGGCGGAGGAGGAGGCGCGGCACTGTGGCTGCCGCCGGGCATCGGGACAGACACCGACGAGGGCTCAGGGACTGAAGGGAGAACGAGAGGCAACCAGCAACCACGGGGGCAAGACTGCACCACCCGGACCGTCTGGACCAAAGGTCTAATAGGAGAGGCTGGTAAACAGAGCCAGTAGTACTCTTCAACTGGCATTATGACGCAGGCTCCTCCAGTGCACTGTTGGGGGAGACACAACTTGGTAATAACAGACTTTTGGATCAGAGAATAAACGTATGCTTCAGTTCACAAGCGTCCCTCTCTAGCTGATCTCAGAGCATAAGGCTGACTTGCTAGTTTATGAGACAAACGCCGCTAGATGTTCTGGAAAAATAACCATTTTAAATCTCAGCCTCATTTTATCTGCATGTACTTAACACAGATGGTGCCAGAACACAATCACTGGCTAAGTAAAAACCACCCCCCCCTCAACATATCTACTGGAACAAAAGGATGAAAATGCACCATCATGCTGAAAAGTTACAGACCCCTCCCACCAATGTTTATAATCTGTTACATACTAAAATTTTGTATCAGACCTGGGTTCTTATGGTTCAAGTTTAAGTCAAATTATATCAACCAGTGCACAGATTTTACAAAGAAAGCTCTGAGTGAGCCTAAAGATTTTTAATTCTGTAAAGTGAAATCAGAAAGACAATTAAAGCATTCAGGAGACCCCGGAACTAAAACTTAAAACTGAAATTGCTGTCATTCAACTCCAGGTAAGCGGTCGCCCACGTGAAATATAAATAAGACAGACAGCAGAAGACAGCTCTCCCACAGTGTAAGCATGGATGGAGTGCGCAGATGGGGTATGGTGAGGGAAGAGGGAAAATGCCCCCTGCATCCTCCCCGTTCCCCAACTACAACTGCTAGCAACAGGAGCTTTATCAGAGTAGCCGATTAAGATCAGGAGGTCTTCAACATTTTTTGTCTCAGGATTCCTTTACAACCTTAAATTATTTAGGACCCCTCTCACTCAAAGAACTTTGATTAGTGTGGGACTTAAGTATATTAGAAACTAAAAAGTAAGGGGAAATTTTTAATACCTTAAATATTAAAATATTTTGTTACTAAATATCTTTAAAACTTTTAACATTATTGTTAAACATAAACGATTAAAATTATTTTTTTAATTAGTGAGAAGAGTGGCATTACTTCATATCTCCATAATTTTCTCTGATGTCTGTTGTGATTAAAAGACAGTTCATGTCTTTTCTGTGTTCAGTCTGTTAAACCACTGCCTGCCATGAAGCCTTTGGAAAACTCCATGGTAGACTTACAAGAGAATTAGAGTGAAAAAGACAACGAACATCTTGGTATTAACATAATTTTGACCTCCAAGGACTTCCTGAAGGGGCTGGGAGCCAGGAGGATGCACTGGCATCTTCATACACTCCCATCAACTCTGCGAAGACAGGCATCTTGTCTTTCATCCCTGTATCACCAGTGCCAACTTTACATGTATGTGATGTTGGAAAATATTCTTAGAATAAAATTATTAGAATAAAATACTTGGGTGTTAGCTTCTACTCTGCTATGTATACCAAGAGGCTGGGCTTCAGTTCAGCTTTCTCACCCAAGAAAATAAAAGTGTGGGGTACAAGAGGTGTAGCATCATGGATTAGAAGTTGGATTTAGTCCAGATCCAAACCTGGCTTTGCCTCTTACATGATAGGGGGCAAGCTCCTGAAATTCTCCTGCCTGGGGTCCTTGTCTGCAGTGATGATACAAATGACACCAGGCGCCGACTGCTTGTTCCCTCTGAAACCTGACTATGTTGCCAGTGTGCTACAGCACCCGCTAGGGGTTGTGCCTCAAACCTCGCTGTGCTTTGGAGGATTATGGGCCAAGCAGGAGATAACATTAAATGATGGTTTAAATGCTACAAACTTTCTAGAAGAGTCTGTGCCCTGGGGCCTATGACAGGAATTGGCAAACTATAGCCTATAGAGCAAATCCAGCAGGTCTGCCTTTTTTTTTTTTTTTAAACAGCCCCTGAGCTAAGAATGGTTCACAACATTTTTAAATGAGGAGGGAAAAAAATCAAGAGGAATACTTCATGATACATGAAAATTATATGAAATTCAAATTTTGGTGTGCATAAATAAAGTTTGATTGGAAAACAGCCATGCCCATGTGTTTCAATATTGTCTATAGCCACTGTTTCTGCGACAAGAGCACAGCTGATTCGTTTCAACAGAGGCCATATGGCCCGCAAAGCTTAAAATATTTACTATCTGGCTTTTGGCAGAAAAAAAAAATTGCCAGCTCTTGGCCTAGGGAAAATCTGAGTCAATGTTGTTGGGTAGTGATGGCAAAGTACCAAACTAATACTGAGGTGAGTACAAATCAAAGAATTGTCTTCCTGCTCAGGGAAGTAGAGATGCTTGCTACAGTATCTTTCTCCAAGGAGAAAGGGAAGTTGATTCTCCATAACCAATTAATCATGCAGATCTTCAGCTATTTTGTGCCCAAAATATCTAGGTACAGAAATATTTAACATTTACTCTGTATCAAGTATTCTTGCAGATTACTCACAACAAATACATTCCATTTCCAATGCCTCCTCCCAGGGGCCTTCCCTTACCACACCAAGATAGCATCTCAACCACCATCCAAGCAGTTTTTCCTCACAGCACTCATCATCAACAGGATTACTGTCATCTCCCATGCTGTGAGCTCAACAGTGGTCCCCCAGCACTAAAATCCCAATCCCCAGAACGTGTGAATACACTACCTGTAAAAGAGATTCTGGTCATGGGGAGATTTTTTCCAGGATTATCCCAGGGAGCCCAACTTAATCGCAAGAATTCTTGTAAGAGGGAGGCAGAGGGAGACTTCATTACGGTAATAAAGATGAAGACCGAGAGGCTGCACTGGCAGCTTTGAAAATGGAGGAAGAGACTGTGATCAAGGAATGCAGGTGGCCTTGAAAAACTGAAAAAGGCAAGAAAACAGATCCTCCCCTCAGAGCCTCAACAGGGACCAGCTTTGCTGACACCTTAATTTTAGCCCAGAGAAACCAATCTTGGACTTCCAACCTCCACAACTAAAAGATAATAAATTTGTGTTGTTTTAAGCCACTAAATGGCAATTTGTTATAGCAGCAATAGGAAACTAATACACCTACTAAAATATAAATTCCGTGAAAGATGGGCAATTTTCAGTCTACCACTTTTCCCCTGGTGCCTATAGCAGTTCCTGGTATAGCCGTTGAGTGAATTAACAAAGGCCAACTGTAATCACTTGGTAATGGTTTCCCCAGAACAAAGGCAATGGTAGAGAAAGTCATGTCTAGAATTTAAAAAATCTGAGTGAACCATGAGAGAGATGTCACGATGGACTTTTAGATGATCTGTTGAGGCACTAATGTGAGGGCTCATGACGAGCCCCACACTGTGGTAGATGCTTTACATATACCATCCCATTTAATCCTCACAATAGTCTTCCAAGTACGTCATTCCCATTTCAGAAAAGACAAGAAAGCCTTAAAGATTAAGAAATTTGCCCATGAGTCAAGAATTAAACCCAGGTCTAAATGATTACACATCTCTTTTTTCACTGTACTATACCCAGTAATTCAAAGTACTTGTCACATACATTTTCTAATTGTATCCTTACTGTAAATACATACATAATTTTTCCCACTTAGCAAATCAAAAACCTGAAGTTTGCAGGTTCAATAATTAACCTAAAGATTATCTAATTTCCCCAAAATCTCTAACTAGAATATTTGAGAGTCAGGATCTGATCCCAGGACCTTTGATCAGAAAGCGGTTCTGTTATACAACAAAATTCTAGTTTAAAAAATTTCCACAATATTCTCCTAAACTTCATCTGATTTTATTGAACCTGTGAAATCTAAGCCACTATAACTATATTAGTGAGGAACTAGCAGACTTTCGGTTTGGTTTATATGTAATCTCTATAAATGTATTATCTATTGGTCAATTATCCTTTTTTCTTCAAGGTAAATAGTTGCTTTAATTTCCAATAAATGAGGCAATACAGGTGTCATGACAATCAATTAAAAAATGGAAACAAGTGGTCAACTTGATTTATATTTTAACAGCTATAACTTCAGAGAAGACCCAAAATATTACCTTCCTTCCTAACCTCTACATTCTCTAGTAATGCTTTCAGTCATCACTAAGTCTCAAACACTCCTAGTAAAGACTCTTGCCTTTAAAAGAATGATCTGCTGGTGAGTAGACCTGAGGCAAGATCTTTTTGCTATCATTAAGATGTCATTTCCCCAAACAACAAAGCTCTGAAAACCTAAGGAACATGGTTGGTAGAGGTATGCTAAAGAAAGGATCAGTGAGATCAAATGATGCTTCCACAACTGCTAGATCAAAGGGTGGTAGACACTGGGAAGGGTTAGCACCCCTTCATATGAAAAAGTGGGAAGAATGAGTACTTTAGAAAATAATTGGCCAAGTTTCATGAGAAATTTCTATTTTTGCTAAAACCTCCACTATTACTGAAGAATCTCTCAATCTCAATCTCCTCTCAAAATCAATGTCATTAAATTAGTTTTTGGATTTTCCTTCCCTGTACTACATTAGACTTAGGAAAGTTTATCATTACTGCCATGCAAATCCGATACTTATCCACTTGCCAAATAATGTTTAATAGCAAGACCCACTACTACCGCCCACTCTCTAAGAATCAAGAGGTTTATAGCATGCTCACTGTACCTTCAAAAACTGTTTTCTTAAAGACCCACATTTTCAGCAGTAGCCTCCAAGTAAGGTTGTAATTTATACTCTTGAAACAATTAAAAGCAGCAACAACAACAAAAAACCTTTATGGCTTTATACAAGTGAAGAACATTTGGATAATCATGTTTCAGTTTAAACAAGGACAACTTCCAGGCATTTTAAGCCCTATTAAGAAATACAAAATTGAGTTGGGAACAAATATTCAAGGCTGTTACATAATGAAACATCACTGATTCTGAGGAACACTGTATGTACTAGCAAAAATTACAAAGGGAAACTAGGGGCTGGAGAAGAAATTAACCAAGCAGATAAAAACTGTAACAGGATGCTAAAAGACTTTAGTGTTTTAAATAATTTGACAAAGATATTTTCCACCGCTGAGAATACAAATAGGTGAGGTAAATCAATTTTTGCCCATTATAACATTCAAATGGAACAGTTCCAAAAAATTTTATAGGTCTCTGGTGCCATAACTTCTCACAATTCCATGTATTTGGCCTCCATATTTCCCTACTAGAATAGCTTTCCTATCTTTGGCCAATTCCTACTCACCTTTCAGCACTTTGTTGATGCCTCATCTACTTCAGTAAAGATATTCTACTTTTGTTGAGTCCAATCACAGGAGACTATGGATACCCACTCATTAATGTTACTGAGTCCTCTCTGCAATATAGCATGGCATTTGCATTTTTTTTTTTTTACAGTATTAAGGTCACACATACACTGCCCTACAGGTAGTCTTTATTGACCATTTTCTTCACCCACTCTTCCCCTCATCCTGGTTAAGAGGTCTGTTTGGGATTCCCTTGATTCCCCGTAGCAGAGGAAGCAGTGCAGTATCACAGAGAAAAAATCATAACTGATTTCTGGGGCAAATTATCAAATACCTTTTAATCTATGAAATTCACAACTTTATTAATAAAGTCTTAAAGAGAAAAAAATTTTTTCCGTGAACATGCCAGTGAACTTTTTAGTAACAATCTTGACAACTTTATAAACTACCAAGAAAAATGCACTGCACAGCAAAACAATTTCTGATGTTCTTGAAAATACTTTATCACTTTACAAGAGATACAATATGTGCTTCTGTTTGGATTTTGCTATCTATTTTGATATGCTTTAGAAAAGCCACAAAATGCATCCTATACTGAGAACAAAAATCTTTAGTATGAATTTGTGATCATAGCCTCTGAAATTTCAAAAGTCGCCACAATATTTTTCCAGTCCTGTAAACTCAAAGATATAACTCCTTGTTTTCTGCAATGGGAACTGGGATCATTTCCCTCACCCACTTGGTTAATATTAATTGGCTCTAGTATTGGCAACCTGTCTTGGTCAAGTCTTATCCTTGCAAAACCATCCCTTATAATGAAAGAAACATAAAATATATTCTCCACAGTACGAGAGAAAGAGTTTGGATCAATCACAAACTCAAAATAGGACACGGGAGTATCAGGATACTTTCGAAAGTACGTTTGCAACAGTCCCAAGATCCTTTCTACTTCTTTTTCTGTTGCTTCTTGATTACTGTTCAGATCCAACTTCCTCAGCTTTGTAGGCATATCCCCATTTTCTTCCATTTTGTGAACTTTTTTCCGGTGTTCAAGTCGGGGCTTTCGCGCAGAAGGCTCTGATTTGAATGAACCAAAAATAAAGTGGAATTTCTCAGCTTGCAACATCCAAGATGTTGCTTCCTTTTGCACTGTCTCCCAGAAGGAAAGAGCTACATTATCATCATAATCACTCAACTCACGTCCATCACCTTCCATCCAGTTTAGACCCACAAATATAAACAGAAAGTCACAAAACGCTACTTGATTAAAAAAGCTCATATCAGAGTTTAGCTGCTTTGCTTTTTCTTTACCCAAATCAGAAGCCAAAACAAGAAACTGGGCGTCCAGAGCTGCTTCTCTTGTTCGGCTGACTGCATCAAACAGAACATTGGCTTCCTCAAGAGCCTCGGTCAGGGAGTCGCTCGCCGTGTTCACGATGTCATCACGGTTCTGCTGGACGTTGTAGATGAGCTGTCGGTACTGCTTGCGGATACTCCGGCATTTCTCCTCGTCCACGAGCTCCAGGAGGCTTGGATCGATGTCGGCCTCCCCACAGCTGAGGTCGTCAGAGCAGGCATCAGCCCCCACCGCCACTTCCACCTTCATCGGTTCCTCCTCCTCCTCCTCCTCTGCCTGCTTTCCAGGGTACGCACTACCGGTGACGGCCACCACCGGCTCCTCTCCCTCCTCTACGTCTCCCCTCAGGGAACCTTTTTCATCAGCCATGTCGCGGACTGCTGGCGCTCAGGTAACGGCCTTCGCAACGTTTCGGACAACGGCGTAAACTGAAAGGGTCAGTTGGAGCCGAGGAGGACGTCTGCCCATGCGCACTAGCGGTGCGGCCCGGCGGCCC